AGGTATTCGGCACAAAAGCTCGTACAGGATAACTTATATATCCTAACATCACTTTGTCGGGAAGAGATTCAAGATCAAAACTCAACAGAACAGACAATGACTCTTCTGGTTCACCACTCACGCCACCCTGTCTGCGTCGCACCAAACGGCGAGCATCATAAACACCTGGAATCTTCCCCTTCAGTTGTTTTTTTTACTGCTACCCCAGTAATCACTCATTTCAATGGCACCCTTTTCTTGAGAGCAACACAATTCACATCTCCTGTCCCCATTCATTTAACGCGGAGCGTCTGCTCCCTCTGACCAGCAGAAACTCAAACAATTATCATCAGACCACTTCTGGTTACCTTCACTGATTCCACAGCACCCAACTCTGTTTTCACCCACCCTGAAACCACAAACGGATCATCCAAAAGGCAAGTGTCCACTTTAAAAAGAAAGAATCACTCCTATCGTCACAGACGTATCTTTATCCTGACCCTCGGTGCAAGCTTCGGGCTCTGAGAACTTCACCACACCTACCGCCTCCAATACTTCGCCCTCACTCACTTCCATTTCTCTTGTCTTCAATCTGACGTACAGCTCACTCTGCTTACACTTTCTACCAATCTTCTTTAATAAACCATCTCCCTTTTTCCCTACATTTTTTCCAGATTCAAGCTCACCCTCTTCCTCCCTCTCTCTCTCTTCGACCTCCTCTGCCTCCCTTTTCCCCTCCATTCCTCCTCTGTATTCCAAGTATACGTCTCCTTATGATAATACTGCACTTCTCCTGACATACATCTTGTTCTTGCCCTCTCAAGGGACGCCATTTTCCTTATCTCCAGTGCGTCCAGTCCAGACACAACAACGAGTCCCTCTGCACAATGAATGGACCAAAATTAAATAATTTGTTTCGCACTTCAGCAGCAGCAGGCGTCATTAAACCACTAATAATAACACTATTTCAAAACCATATCTGCTAGTAATCTAGAGAAGCCAGTTTCTGGAAGTCTATGGGCTTCACGTGGGGAAATTCTCACTTCCTTTCCACAACGGAAATCACAATTTCACAACACATTCCCCCCAGCAGTTAAACGGGAAGTGACAACTTTGCGAGAATTTGAATTCTGGGTAACCAAGATTAGTAGTAGGCTATTTCATATTGATGAGCCTAGTTGTATACCCTTTACAAAGACACAATATCAGTTAATCAGGAAAATAATTGCTGCTTCAGAATCATCTGTGCCTTTTGAGACAAATGATTTAACACTGACATCACAAAAAAGGTTTGGATTATGACAATGGTATGAATGATAGAATGGAATGGAATGACATCATAAATAAGGAGTTCCCAAGAAGAGACACAGCTGTGTTTAGTCTTCTTCAGATTGATCACCTCCATACATCCCTGTTTTGTGCCAACAAGACAGGCAGGAGGCAGAGATGGACAGGAGGCAACAGGAGAAGGGAACAAAGGAGAGACTGAAAGAGATAGAGAATTTCAGGGTACAAGAGGATAAGACAAAGGCAGAAAAATATGAAAGAAAAATAGGACAGAAGACAAGGGGGAACACAGATATGGAGAGTGTGCAACAGGACAAAGGGAGGATCCCGAGAAAGTGTGAGCCTGCTGTCCCTGTGCTAAATGTAAGGGTCATCGAGTGCAAGCCCAGGCCAAAACCAGACCTGACACCTGAATATGGACTCGAGCCCAATGCTGATCCAGCACCGAGGCCCAGGGCTGACAAGACAAACATGGAGCTGCTGGACATTGAGGATGAGGAGTGTGAGGATGAAGAGTTGACTCTCATGGGCAACAATAACATTATGCGTTCCTCAGATCTGGAGGAAGCCCAGCATAAGCTTCAAAAGGAGGCTGAGGAGGCCAGGCGTAGATTCCAGGCCGAGGCCATCGAGAAATGTTACAGACACAATGATGAGGAAATCTTATCAGGCTCTAGTAATATTAGTAAAGAGGACAGCGCACCACCTATGAACGTTGCCAATGGTACGACTAATGGGGATATGGAGGGAGGAACCTGTTCCTCAAACAGTAACGAGTCAGATGAGAGAACTACCAAAGTGGACAGCGTGACAGGGAAAGTGATTGGCTGGGTGAACAAAAAAGTCAAAGAGAGAAATGAGAGAAAGATTGCAAGAACATACTGGAGGGAGGAGACTCAAAGTGATCAGTTGTACATAAACGGTGTAGTGATTTGCAGCCGTGCCCAGCGAGAGAGAGAAAAGAGGTCAAAACTCCTCAAGGGTGAGCAAACCAGACGGAGGCTGGAAAGACGCTGGCAAGAGTGGGAGGAGAAGAGAGACAGAAAAAAGAACACGCTGAAGAGGGTACAGAGAAATGGGCTCTGGTACAAGGAGTTGGAGAACAAGTACAACAGCCAGGGTAGACATGAGGACAACTCACTGCCTGATGAAGCAGCTGAGGCTGATGGTGATGAAGAGGTGGAATACCTTTTAACGTACGGGCCCTGCGACTGCGAACTCTGCAGGGACGGATACAAATGTCTCTGGTACAATTATGACAAGGAGGAGACAGACCCCAACGAGGCGAGGAGCAAGAGGAGGATAATCAATTGGATCAATACAAGAGTCAAAGAAGATTATCGCAAGAGAATCAACACAACCTTTAACATCCAGAGTTTAGTATGTGATGATTATGCAATTTACGGAAACGCCATCCTTCGCCAATGGGACCTACAGAAGATCATAAGGCGGGAACTCGTAAAAAAGGAGGAGAGAAGACAGAGGCTGGAGAAGCGCTGGAAGGAGTGGGAGAAGGCGAGGGCCGAGAAGATAAATACAATTCTTCAGAAGAAGGAACAGGCCAGGCTCAATAGACTAATAGACCTGAATCTAGAGGCAGACCAGAAGATCAAGGAGTTCATTGCTGCCAATCCAGGAATCCAGTCCCAGTACCCTGGAAGCCATACCAGGGTGGAGATGATGGGACGTTGGGACATGGGCTACCAGAGGGAGGAGACTCAGGGCCAGGAGGGCAGAGTAGGGACTGCTACTGTACAGAAGTCCACTGCACCTCTGCGGACCAAGAAAATAACCAAATGGCAGAAGTTGCAAAAATGGTAAAGAATAGAGCTAGAGGGGAGCTGAATATGAGCTGAACTACTGGTGACAACAGTCATTTATGTGAATTTCCCAAAAGCAAAAATGTAATGGTGCCATAATGTTCATATTACCAATATGCTAATTTATCTCATCATTTTTGCAGGTTATACATGATCCAACTGTGAAAGGTCCAGCCCCAGAATGCTCATATGAAAGTTATTTCCTAATAAATCTTTTGGAAGTAAAATCATAATTTGCCTGAAAATCCAAACAGAATCAATTATATACTGTTCCTATCAGATACTATTCCCTCATAATATGGTACATTATTGGAGACAAAAGATAATCCATTTCAAAACAAGACACTTAAAAAAGAGACAGTTAAATTTGTTGCATACATTTCAAAGTGTAATTTAATGAAACAATGAAATAAAATGAAAATAATGTTATAGATTTTTTTGTGAATTAACCCTGGTAACCAAAGCAGGCAAACTGAGATGTGTCCAAAATGGCAATCCCAAGGCATAGTGATGAACAACAATATTTTCAGAATTATGAGAAAAAAGTTCCAAAATGCTAAATAAAAAGTTGGTAATTTTCAAAACAGCAAAATGATTCCGTCAAGGGCAATAGAGTATTCATCCTAACAAAAATGTCTACATATATTTCAGGATGTTGTGTATCCCTGGAAATAATCTGAATTCATGTAAACATTACAGTTTTGAAAACATAGCTTCTTTCTCCAAAAAAAGTGGTCTCTTGGCACAACTTACCATGGATATTTCTGATTTGAATGAAATATTACCACTACCTTTTTAAAACCACGTCTATCTTTATTTCCCAAACACAATTCAACAATCACAATCGCTTTTTGTCTTTTAATAATTTTAAGCATATTTTAAACATAGGCTTAGTACAAACACTTAAAACACTATTAACATAGGCTAGGCCCTGTTGTTACCTCATATCCCAGCGATAATGCCTTGCATCACTACGCCTGGGAAGAAAACACTTACATTTGCTCAACTTGCCATTGGCTCAATTTACCCCAAGGCAAACATTTTGACTATATTAGCCCACACAGCTACAAGGATGCACTTTCATTCTAGGTTTAGGACCTCATATTGAAGCTTATAAAGACCCCCAACTGATGTATAGAACAATATTAAAATGATCTACTTTGGTTCAGATACAAGCATCATGAAACCTTTACCACAATACATTCCTTTGACTTGGTGAAAATACGTTTTTTGGATATAACTTGCTTACCACTTTTCCATGTGGTTTCTTCCTTCACAGACTCCATGAAATAACGACCTCTTCCTAAATATTTGGTCAAATTATTAATTTTGTGTGTGGTTTCCTAGAAACAAGGGTGGCTAAACTTACCCCACTCTCCCCTAAGACATGTTTTCGCCACACAAATCTATTCAGAATGTTGGCTACCCTAAGAAAACATTTGTGGCGAACACAAATACATTTGAATGTGTTAGCTACATGTGCAACAATACAGTATATAGGTACAACAATTCCCTATACATCCCACCAATTCAGAAATCCTGTAGGCCTCACCCATGGAACGAAAATAAATTATTAACTTGTCTTCATTGTCTTTATTCACATGCCATATTCTGAATCAGTTCCAATCTGGTATAATGCAGAGTGCCACCTTGCGGGACTCGCACTGCCAAATGCTATTTTTCTTGCACAAATGACAGACCATCCTGCCCTCACTAGCTTTATCCCTTGTCTCAACAGTGATGGGATCATTAGTGGGCACAGGACAGCACAATGAACCCATTTCCACCTCCTCTTCTTCACCCTGCTTTTCCACTCGCTGTTTACTCTGTTGTTCCTCCTGCTCCTCCCCCCTCTCCTCCTGAACATCCCCTTTCAGTGCAATGTCAGCACATGGTGACTGGTCATGCGTCCATCTACTTGAAGAGCAGCTCCCAGCCACGAAGCCAGCGGATGGTCCCTCTCTTTGCTCTGGGAGGCATGCTGTTCTCTTGGATGCCAGAGAGGCCCACATGGTTTTCACGTATGGTTCCACATGCTCCCAATTTCTTCTTGTACAGGTCACGGAAGAGAGTTGCGCTGGTGAAATAGCTATCAAAGGTAAATGTGGTACCCTGTGCCCAAGTGAGGGACATTCAACAGGATCATGACAGCGTCATAGCACTCCCCTTTTCCTGTAGCAGATGGGTTCTTGCCTATAAATACATTGAAGTCACAGGTGTAGCCATTTCGTGAATCAGCTAAAACATAGACCTTGAATCCATACCTGTAGCGCTTGGATTTCATGTATTGTTTGAGGCTTTGGTGGGCCTTGGAGCGCACCATGCGCTCATCAATGGAAAGGTTCTGGAATAGGAGAAGTCCCTGCATGTCTCCAATAGCTGGTCTTTGAGAGGTTTGATTCTCATGAGCCGATCGTACCCTGCAGTCCCCTTCTTCTTGGCCTTTTCCTCATCCTCTGCTGGGTCACTCAAGTGCAGTGAATAGGTGATTGGCCCGAAATCTTGAGGTATTTGTACATTTCCTCCATGGATACAGGTCTCCATGTTTCTTTAAATCCCTGTTCCTGTCTTCTCTTGGCATTCTTGTTTGTGTTTGAGCGGAGAGTATCAACAATGTCATTACTGAAGAACAGCTGGAAGAGCTCTAGAGGGGTGTAGTTCTTTGAAGTGTCTAGCTGGGGTCCTGGAGTCCTGGCTGGTTCGAAGCGGAACGGTTTAGGCTCTTGTTCTGGTTCATCCTCAGTCCTCCACCTCCTCGCTGACCCACTGTTAAGAGGTGTGGCTGGATGAGCGTTCTTCCTGGATTTGGCAGGGATGGGTGTCCAGGGTGGAGTGGATGGAGAGAGGCGTGGCCTTCTTTTGCCCCATTTTCTGTGCTGCTTTAGGGCTGGAGATGATTTTTCTATTTTTTGAAGCTCTGTTCTCTATGGTTTTGTCTCAGAGGAAAGGGCATCTTCATCCTCCTCACTTGACTCTGAAACCTCAGTGAAGAGACAGGAGGAACCCCTTACTCTGGGCTGTGATGCGTCTGTTCCATTGAACGGGGAGTCATTCCCCTCTACAGTCTCTGAAGGTTCTGTCCAACCGTCTTAATCTTCCTCTCTAAAATGTATCAACAACGAAATAGGGTTAAGGTGAGCAATATCAGTTCATATGCAAATATATAATAGTCAAGGAACACAATTATGTATGAGAAAATAATAATCATACCATCATTTGAAGGCATGATATCACATGTAGTGGTCAATGGATGACATTCTATGAGAGAAGTTATAATAGTGAAATTCAGACACCAACCTCTTATTGATGCATCCAAAGAGTGTCTGGCCTGACCAATTGTGTCCGGCACTTCCTCCTGCTCCATCCATTACCCACTGGCTCACTCCACAGCAGGCTGAAAGAAATACAGACACACACACACGAGGGAAAGACAAAGTAGAATCATTTAACTACATAGTTAATAATTTTCTTATTTCAAAGCTCATAAATACAGATAGACTTGAAATTGAAATTATAATAGACTACACACTCATTAGATTGGGGTTTAGGAACCAGAAATTCAAGCCCATATTGTTTATCAGAGCTGGCCTGGCTAACCTTAGCCATAGTCTGACTAAGCAAGACACTATACTATTTTGCTTAATCAGGCTAGCTAATTTACCAGTATGAAAAGAAAAGGCTAAACCATGCCCTCCATGTCTCAATCAGTGGGATCCATTCAATAATCCAGATTTCTAGTTGGTTAGGTAGTTGGCTAGCTAGCTAGCTAAACACATTCACTGCTTTCTTACCGTATGTGTACAAGGTAGAACCATTAAAAGTAAAACCATAATGTTTTCTGGTAGAACAAAACGTTATCACGTACTGTCTTTGATGTTATGGCTATGAAATGAAGAATGATGACATCATGTAACGTGATACCAATTTTTCCCACAAGGCAGCAGGGCGATAGTATAAATACCAACGTCACCCCTTTAAGAAATCCTCTTCCGCGCTTAACTCAGCAGTGTATGGTGTGCAGGTGATATTGTGCGGTCCACAAAATGGTAACTATTGTATATTTTTTGGCTTTAGACGATATTATAACGTTAAAATAACTATAATGTTATATGTACTACTCAAAATGTGTATTTTGCGTGGCACACGTGGCTATTTTGATTTTTTTTTTTACGCATGGTGTATGTGCATGCGTGTCCTTGAACCAGTATCTGCGTTACGGATTCAAACTTCCATTCACCACCAGCTCTGCAAAAGTGAATGTCAAAATACGTTCGTTGAACACATGGAGTTTCGCTGAGTAAATATTTTCTTTTTCAGCCGGTATGTACGTCTAAAGTCACTGCAACTGTATTGAGCTGTTGTTGACTGCCGAATACCGTTAGACATTTTCGGTCGCTTGTAAATTATTTGACTTATTATTTTTGAAGTACATACCTGCCGTAATGGGAGTAACTAACTTAAATGAAACTAGTTGCTCAGCGAAACTGTATATTTGGTGATCTACGAACGTATTTTGACTTTTTATTTATTACAACAATACTACATCAATACAGGGACACATAACGCTTACAGAGCTGATGAATGGGAGGTTAATCTAGACTTCCTGGGCACTGTAGGTCTAACGCACAGCTACTTGTTCAGCGTGGCCTAAACAGCCACGTGTTAACTGTTAGCACCAGCTGAAGTATACTACCAAACGAGGCTACACCCTTTTTGGATTCGCCAAACATTATTTACGTGTTCATTTAAATAGAACTAGTGTTAATACGGAAATATTGCGTATTTTATTTTTGCAGTTTGATAAAATTAATGTTGGTAGGGACATCTGAGGACACCAACTTTACTGATTGACATGGATTTGAGTTTTCAACTTCATTCCACTTAACAAGTCTTTGCATGTTATCTTATCATGCCCTTCTAACGTTTCAGATTATGAAGTACAATCTACTTGATCCTGGATGATGAATGAATCAGCAAAAATGGCTTATGATCAGGTATGGCACGCATTCACATCACTCATTGTAATTTGAATCAAGCATACATTATTTTGAATAAGCGTAGCTAGTGGACAAGTGATTATATTAACTAAACTCACTAGCTTCATGATTAGCTACCTAGCTATGTCGTGTAGAACCATAGTTTTATGGTAGAATTTTAGTAAATTGTAAGCAACTTAACCCATGTCTAATGTGATGATAAGTATGTTGGTAGGGACATCTGAAAAAAATGAGGAAACGCCAACTTTACTGACCAGACATGGATTTGCGTTTAACTGTTCATTCCACTTGGCAATTTTCTGCTGGTTATCTCATGCTCCTAACCTTTCAGATTATGAAGAACAATCTACTTGTTCTTGGATGACTAATGAATCAGCAAAACTGGTATACGATCAGGTATGGCATGGATTCACTTCTAACTCATTGTAGTTATATCAAACCTACATGATGAATATTTGAATAAGAGTAGTGGACAGAAGTGATTTCTGACACATTTCAAACTGATGGATATCCATTTGGTGACGTGATTGAATTGTTTTAAATGGACAAACTGATAAAGCAAATGTTTTCCTTTAGGTTAAAGCCACTTTTTGCTGACCCTGTTAAGGAAACCAAGACCTCCCACGCTCCTGGTAAGTGCTTTGCATGGAAAACCTTAGTTTTGGACCATATGCATTTTTTTGACTATGCCGTTGATGATGTTTAAAGTATCATTGGGAATCTCTCTGAGACTATGTGAAAGAATATAGATCACTGAAACGGTCTGCAGTAGAATTCTAAAATGTCCTGCCCCTCTATGTGTATCTAAATCTTGATCAAATGTATTTGGTCCTCAGGTATGCCTGACTGGGAAGACCTGGTCAGAACTGCTTGCCCTATTCATCATGGAGCAGTTGATTGTAAGCTTTGTTTACTCAGTTGGAATGTCTCATTGCTGATACGTTGACCGCATAGTTCAGATTAACCATTAAACTATCAGCATTGTCTTTCCTAGGTGCTCTATCAGCTGTTAAATAAGACTGATTTCTGCTCTCCCTGATTACATTTTATTGATTAACTTTATTTGTTCCTCAGTTGGTGTCAGGTGGTTGGAACCTCTAGTTGGACTCATCACATAACAGTTGCCTGTAAGTTGTTTACTGCAGCTGGAACACTTTCAACCATTGCTGACACAATGATGACCGCATAGTTCAGCAGATTAACCATGAAGAACACTCAGCATTGTCTTTCGCTCCTATCTGATGTGTCAGCTATTATACTGAACCAAACATGGAAATTGGACCTGTAACAACTTCCAACAGTTTTACTGAGTTCCAGTTCATAGAAGTGCGTATGTAAAAACAATATCTGGTCTTTTATTTCTGCTCATGAACCATGGGACCAACACTTTACATGTTGCGTTTTTGTTCAGTGTGGTGTATATGAGATTTTGAAGATTGCTTCTCTGTTTCCTGACACCATTTTTATATTTCAGGCATGGCGGAATGGAAAGATGGCTGATCCATCATTTTTGGGGCTACGGCACAAGATCAACCACAAGTCGAGGTAAGCACTTGCGCCACACTGACTTGATGCATTCCAACAGCCGGTGATGAAAAGATTCTGCCATATGAGTACACTGATTATACTCCTACCGTTCCATTTATTTCTGAGGCCTCAATGAGCTCCACTTCAGCATCTGTTTTTGCCGTGTGCTGCACTAAGCCTTTTTCCTTTCCACTTTAGGTTCCTAGAGGCTGTCAGACCAGTTGCGTTTGCAGTACATGTCCTTGACGCATGAATATAAACTGAGCTGGTATGTTTTAATGTGTACAGACGAAGTGGCTTGTTTAAGTCTGATTGGCATATTGTTTCAGTGAAGCTATACCTGGTCCGTTCTACCTGTTTCATGTGGGGGTGTGCAAATGATGATTCAATTCTTGAACTCTCTCACTGAGATTTTGATGACTACAAGAATACTGATCTTGCCCCAGTGTCTTAATGGTTGACTGCCGTGTGACTTCATTTGGCTAACTTGTCTTCCTCTTCCCACAGGGTTTGGTCATGACTGCAATAATCACCACTGACCTGTGATGTTCTTTACTATGTTTGATGGCGCTGTCAAAAATAAACGTAAACTGTACATGTAGTATAAACTATAGATTGGTCAATAAAAAAATACTCCCAAGCATTGATGTTTCACTTGCAGTTATAACAATAATGGGGTTTATGTGCATGATGACATTGTGCTGGTGTGTGTATATAAACACAACATGTAGTGTTGGTCAAAGATAATTGAATGTTAATTTCTCTACCATAAGCCACATCCAACGTTGTTTTTTGGGAATTTGGCTGTGCATCCAACCAGCCTCATAACTGGTTGGATGCACAGGCTCTAAGGCTTCGCGTGGGCACAGGGTTTGCTGCCTTCAACTTTGTGAACAGTACCACGTGGTGGGGTTATGGTATGGGCAGGCATAAGATACGAACATGCTCTCATTTTATCAATGGCAATTTGGATGTGCGGAGACGTCGTGCCATTCATCTGCCGCCATAACCTCGTTTCAGCATAATGCACTGTCGTAAGGCTCTGTACTCAAATTCCCGTAAACTGCAAAAGTTCCATGGCCTGCATACTCACCAGACATGTCACTCGTTGCGCATGTTTGGGATGCTCCGACTGCGTGTTCCAGTTCCCACCAATATCCAGTAACTTCGCACAGCATTGAATGGGACAATGTTCCACAGGTCTCAATCAGCCTGACCAACTCTGAAGATGCCCCTACCTTTAAGGTATCTGGCTAACCGATGCATATCTATCCCCAGTCATGTGAAATCCATAGAATGGGACTAATGGATTTATATCAATTGACTGATTTTCTTATGAACTTTGACTCAGTAAAATCTTTGACGTTGTTGCGTGTATATTTTGCTGCTTATCAACCGTTAGCTGATGAGGATTTGACTCGAGCAGCGCCTGTATCAGTGGAGGGTGCAGGATTTTGTTCTAGCCTAGCAGTAATAGTTACCCTGTGTGCAATATTCGTTCAGTAATTCTTTAATATTTGGCAATTTAGTTTTCAGGGAACGTAAAATCTCAATTTTGGTTAATCCTTTCTGAAGTATACGGTAAAGGCAGCCACAGTACCAGATGTACTACAGCATCCAAGGTCGCGGATTTTTTTCTGTCAGCCAATGAAACTAGGACATTTGTTCCGAGTATACTGGGATTGGTCGGACAGACTGGGGGGAACCTGTGTATGTTTCGGGGAGCAGAGTGGTCATTCATTTTGTATTGCTAAATTCAATAAATTCGCGACCTACATCATGCTAGTGTCGGTGCTATTGATGATTGCACTAGCCAGTGCCGAACCATCGGTGTATTTTCGAGAGCAGTTTGAAGATGGGGGCAAGTTCCATTTAGTGCAGGCTGCAGCTATTGCCAACTAGCCTAACAGCTAGCTGACCTTAGCTCACTGACATTAAGATGCTAGCTGGAAAATCTATCTAACCATGATGAAACAGAGTAATGGCTAGCTATGTAGTTCGCTAGCTATGCTTTGTGAGACGCGATAATGCATGCGTAGTTGTTTGCCATTTAGCCACACTGACTGCAAAAATGGCCGGCTAGCTATCAAGCGAATCAAATTGATAGCTAACGGATCAAGCTAATCCTAATTCATGTATAAAACGTTCGCTAAATTGGTTTTATTCAACCATGCCAATATTTGCTTCTAACAATGTATTTTTTCTGTCAGATGCTTGGAATACCCGTTGGGTTGAATCCAGCCATAGGTCGGACTATGGGAAATTTGTCCTGACAGCTGGGAAATTCTATGGAGATGCAGAGAAAGACAAAGGTAGATGTCATGGACCTGAGACTTCATGCACTAGAGTAAAGAACCTTGAATGTATATTATCTTACCTGCTAATGAGGACTATTTTATCCCTCTGATGAAATATTATCTGGTTTTGTGACCCCTGTCCATGTGATGAAATATCTGGTTTTGTTACCCCAGCATTGTTTTGAGAATTTCAGATTGTCAGTCTTACACATTTCTGCTCTCTATGTGGAGCAGGAGCCAACTTTGAAGTTGAAGTAGTCCAAAACATATCTTATTCCTCCCAGGTCTCCAGACCAGCCAGGATGCCCACTTCTACTCTTCTTCTGCTCGCTTTGAGCCCTTCAGCAACCAGGGAAAGACCCTGGTGATCCAGTTCACTGTCAAGCACGAACAGAACATGGACTGTGGGGGAGGCTACATCAAGCTATTCCCCGCTGACCTTGACCAGGCAGACATGCATGGAGACTCTAACTACAACATCATGTTCGGTAAAGTACACCATGAACAATGAGATTTGATTGAGAACCAGTTCCTCCGTTGTTACACATTCAACATTTAGAGAAATTGTTCAGGTTGTACATTTATTTTGTATTGCTAATCATAGTGATTTTTTTCTCCCATCTCCAGGTCCAGACATCTGTGGCCCAGCCACAAAGAAAGTTCATGTCATTATCAACTACAAGGGCAAGAATCACCTAATCAGAAAGGACATCAGATGCAAGGTACAGTAAGCCTATATCACAAATCAGGCTTTTTCAATATTTTACTTCCTCATTGGGAGGAATCAAAATCAATCTTCTTTGTTTTTCAGGATGATGAGTACACTCATCTGTACACTCTGATCCTGAACCCTGACGACACGTATGAGGTGAAGATTGACAACAAGAAGGTGGAGTCTGGAAGTCTGGAGGAGGACTGGGACATTCTGCCCCCTAAAAAGGTCAAGGACCCTGAGGCTGTGAAACCAGACGACTGGGATGAGAGAGAGAGGGTAGAGGACCCAGACGATAAGAAACCAGAGGTGGGTAGATGGACACCTAGCCCGCCTGGACCCATGGCTGTTCTGCATTCAACAATGCTACGCTAGCTAGCCACATTATTGTGTTGGCAGGACAATGGCAGAAGCAGACCAGGCATCTAGCCAGCTACTCTGATGCAAAAGCAATCCATCTTGTCAATCTTTTATGAGTAATATGTCTTTCATGAATTTAGTTTTATTAATGATTAGTTAATGATTCTGTTATTTGTCAGGACTGGGATAGGCCAGAGAACATTGCTGACCCTGACGCTAAGAAGCCTGAGGACTGGGATGATGAGATGGATGGTGAATGGGAGCCACCCATGGTCTCCAACCCTGACTATAAGGCAAGCAGTCAGACACAGTAGCATTCCCTATGGTTTGGATTACTGCTTCAATTATATGAACAGCTGTTTGATTGATTTGTTTGCCCTCTCAGGGTGAATGGAAACCCAGCAAGATCGATAACCCTGACTACAAGGGCAAATGGGTGCATCCTGAGATTGACAATCCAGACTACAGTGCAGACTCTGAGATCTACAGATTTGACAGCATAGGAGTCATTGGCCTGGACCTGTGGCAGGTACTGTGGAGGCCTTTATTCAGTCTTTTAATACTTTAGTTATTGATCATTAATAATAAAGAGTGGAATCGTATTAAAAAGGATTCAGTTTGGGATCATTATTTTAAAAGCCTCTATATTTTAATTTAATCGAAAAGTGAAAAGGAAACGCATCCCTGAAAGAGTATTTTTGCCCTGAAATGTTTGAAGTAATTCTGACTTATTCATTGCCGTCACAGGTGAAATCTGGGACCATCTTCGATAACTTCCTGATCACAGATGATGCTACGCTGGCAAAAGAGGTCGGCAATGAGACCTGGGGTCAGACTAAGGTCAGTGGCACTCACCTCTCAGGTTCAAACTTTCACGCTTACATATTCACACTGGTGTCTCTCTCGAGTCACATTCCCCCCAACCCCAATTTGTTCTCTGACAATTTGTTCCAGGATGCTTTGTCTGAATAAATTCACTAGTTTGCTTTCAGATCCTTATGAAGACATATTTGTAACGTTGCCGACCAGCCAGTGGTGTAAAGTACTTAAGTAAAAATACTTTAAAGTGCTACTTAAGTAGTTTTTTGCCGTATCTGTACTTTACTTAACTATTTATATTTTTGGCAACTTTTACTTTTACTTCACTACATTCCTAAAGAAAATAATGTACTTTTTACTCCATACATTTTCTCTGACACCCAAAAGTACTTGTTACATTTTGACAGGAAAATAGTCCAATTCACACACTTATCAAGAGAACGTCCCTGGTCATCCCTACTGCCTCTGATCTGGCGGACTCACTAAACACATGCTTCGTTTGTAAATTATGTCTGAGTGTTGGAGTGTGCCCCTGGCCCCTGCCATCTGGTTTACATAATATAAGGAAGTTGAAATGATTTATACTTTTACTTTTGATACTTAAGTACATTTGAGCAAATCCATTTACTTTTGATACTTAAGTATATTTAAAACCAAATACTTTTAGACTTTTGTATGACAATTGAGTACTTTTTCCACCACTGCTACCAGGACACTACAAACAGTAAAAATTCTAATTTCTGCAGTTTGTTAAAAAGGCTGTATTTTTCATGTTCTGTAGGATCCAGAGAAAAAGATGAAGGAGTCCCAGGAGGAGAAGGAGAGGAAGAAACTAGAGGCGGAAGAGATGGCAAGGAAAGAGGAGAAAGAAGTGGAAGAGTTGGAGCATGAAGAGGAGGAAGAAGTGGAAGAGTTAGAGCATGAAAAGGAGGAAGAAGAGGAGACTGGAGCACAGGAAGAGGAGGAGGAAACAGACTCTATAAAGGATGAACTTTAGAGGACTTTGACTTTCTCATAGGGGCAACTTCCTTCTTTGAGCCTGGGGAGAGATTCTGCATCATTTCGCTTTACCATCCAGTCAGCCAGGCCTCAAAGTAATAATGTTGAGAGAACGGGAGGTGAAGGAGTCATTTACTGCAAAATCGGTGCCATTTTTTAAATGTACATTTTTTGTTAATTTATTGGATTTTTACTTGCTAGTTTATCCCCTAATTAATAAAAAAACTGACCCTTTTTTGTTATTGTATCAAATAATAATTCACATTTGGTAATATATTGGCAAATGTTTTTACTGTGTTTTTTCTTACAGCCTCGACTTAATGCTAACCTATTTCTTGTAAGTAGGCTTTTTGTAGTCCGTTGCTCCACCAAATATTACAGATGAAGTCTAATTTAATGGAGCTTGTTTGTTTTGTATTATTAATTCACATTGAGTGATTATGTACACCATGTGAATCCTACTTGACATTGATATGCATAGTGATAGTTTCCCATTCATTCCATTTCCATTTTCTTACTAAACTAAGTCACACACTGGAATACATAATATTAGGTAGAATTTAGAAGTAACATCTATAACCTCACCTATCCAAATTCAGTCAACAACCTCTTATTCCACCCGCATTCAGCCAAGAACTATTGTAGCCAAATCATCAAACTTTTGTCTCTCAACCACTAACTTCATAATTCCTAATGTAGCATATTGCATTTGTTCCCCCCTTATTGTTTTTGTAGATATTTGTTACCTTATTTGGAAATTATGATTACAGAGATTGTTGTGCAAAAATACTGTACAGTAATAAAAAAGAGGGCTGTTTGGATTTGACATGTGTATGGTGTGCCTTTGTTAAAAATCACCATCACACTATACTACTTGTATTTACAGGCAATTAGAAGTCAAACTAATTAAATAGCACCATATGGATGCTTCTAGGCATTTTTCTACAGAGCAGAATTAATCACAAACACTGACAGCCTTTCATAAAATCTCTTTAGAAAATATTTGTTCTCTGTGTTGAAGTTATTGTCTTGCGATTTAGAGGAGAAAGTGACAAGTACGCAGTTTAATTTCCAATTGCAGTTACTGTCTCTCCAAAGTGAATATTTTGTATCACCAGCAGTCAGCATCGTCTGTCTCTAGGTCCAATGTAGCTTGTTGAAGCCTTATCTGCCCTCCTGCACATTTGCGTCAGCAGAATAGCATGTTATTAATATACATTTTGCACCATATAAAGGGCTTTATAACTTCTGTAATGCAGCACAATGACAATGTAAACAGCGCTAATGATGTTTGGACGCCTCTGAACTCAACTAGTATCAAGGGTCGACTCCCCCACGTGATGAAATGCTCAAGAATGGAGTCGGAAGAGTCAAGGAGAAATTGTCAAATTTACTAGAAGCGCCAGTTTACTCCAAACAGAGTCGACCATGGTTATGTCGAGGTAAATAACCGAACTACCAAAACCTTCTCGGATAATCGCTTTGGGATCCCACGCTTTGCACGGGACCGCAGCCAAGATCTAGTCGGGTACCCGGGGATGCAATGGGAGAGCGAGTACCGCAGAGATGATGCGTTTTGTACTGGATTGCTTGCGGACGCCAAGGCAACGGGCACCGTGCAGTGAGAGGTTGGTATTGGGATAATGGATTAGGAAATGCTTAGTTAACGATAATCTAATTTTCTACATTGACCCATCATCCATAATGGAGCGAGGTCATGTTTAAGGTTAACGGCTCACCCTCCTATGCAATTTCAACAATCGTATTGTGAAGAGATGCTTTTTTATGAATGACCAGTAAGAGGCACTAAAGCAGTGAATGTTTCATATCTTAGCAATGATCGTAGTAACAGCTGGTCCATGCATGCAATACATTATATTCAGGGACATGCACCAACAATAAAATATAGACTATTTTAGACAGACAGACAGCAATTGGTTCATTTTCAAATTGATTGCAATTAATTACATTCTAAAATGGATTTCTTGGTCATCACCCCAAAAAGAGAAATATAAGCAAATAATTTCACAAATGTACACCTATCGGAAATAGGTCTATATAGTAGATTGGGCTATTTCCTATTGAGTATAATAAATAGCCTTTTACATTCACCTGTACACTCATTCATTTTTCATTGCTATTTAAAATTATCCTTTGAAAACTGTATGGTATTTATTGAAGAACAAAAAGGTGCAGTACAACATTTACTGGTGCAAATGTTTATTAAATCTACTGTATTCAATAACACTAGATAGGTAAGAGTCTTCAGGTGAGGTCTCCCTTGACATATAGTGTTGCATTGACACTGCAGTCATATTGATATTACAGTCATTCTCAAACGAGGCTGTTTTACTTTAGAGCCCTCTGAGCTCTGAGATTTTCACTGGGCATAGCCTATTCCTCTAGCCCATTCCTCTGCAGCTTGGAGCAAACAGTCATTTGCATAGAGAGACAGCAGGGTTAATACAGTGTAACACAGTACTGTGGTATTAACTTTGCTTTGTCAGATACAATCGGCATCATGGAAATGGTTAATGAACAAGTAATGCCTCTCATACTGTGGTTTGACAGCATGTCCTTGAGGAATGGCACATTCCCATTATTTCTTATTATTGTTAACCCTTCACGGTGCTGAATCAGGTATGGGGGGGATAGATGGATAGTGGTTGGAGAGGGGAGATAGGGGGAGGAGGTAGTTAATACTTCTGTCATGGATGGACAAGCTTTTTATGGGCTACCCTGGAAATATGACTGCCCCTCTCTTTTCCTGTCCTCTCCCTCTTCTCTCATCCCTCCCTCCCTCCTCCCTCCCTCCCTCCCTCCCTCCCTCCCTCCCTCCCTCCCTCCCTCCCTCCCTCCCTCCCTCCCTCCCTCCCTCCCTGATTCATTCTCCATCTACATGCAACCCCTCTGCACAAGCTTAGTTGGTACATTCTCACTCTCTGCCTCCCCTTCTCCCCTCCCTCTTTTACTGCCTGGTGCCCATACATACACACAACACACACAGCCTGCCTCAGTTTCCATATGCACCATCTGTTTGACTGACAGACTAATGAGAATGGATGGAGTGGGGATGGAGGCTGGGGAAGAGGGGAAGAGAGAAGGGGGAGGAGGAGGTGAAGGAAAGGGAGGATGGTTAGGTGCAGCATCAGTTTCATCCCTCCTTAAACATTCCTGTCTTCTCTGCTGGTCCCCCAGGGACAAGGACTTTGTGGAACAGGACGAGTGTGTCGCTCAGAAGACTGGAGAAATCAGAGTAAGGCTACACGTTTCTTATTACATTCATTTGGTGTGCGTGTGTGCGTGTGTGTGTGAGCGTGCGTCTGTGTGTGCACGTCTGTGTGTGCATCTGTGTGGGTTCTCATGTATCACTGCCTACAGTAAGGTGTACCTGTTATGTGCGAGCCTGATCAGGATATACAGGGTTTCTAATGGCACCTTACATGAGCATACAGTACTGTATGTATCAGGTCTCTTAGCTGAGAGGCTTCTGTGTTGTCATGTTGTTCTGTGAATGAGGATTGAGGAAGACTGTACAGGTATTAGTAATCCTTTAGGGAATCACTAGCCTTAAATAACCAGATTCCCTTATCCTTTACATATCTCCAAATGCTTTTCTCTATCTCGCCTTCCTTTTAGAGCAGGCAAGCTCTGCATTTGCAGAGCCAAATTAATACAGAGTACCATCAAGCCATGAGAACACAGATCATGTCTACTGGTGTCCTTCAGCATCATAGGAATGCCCATCCCAGCATCATAGGAAAGACCATCATTGTTTCAACTACAGTACACTATGAACACGTTCCGTGCACCGCTGCCTGTGGAGATGTCACTGTGTGAGATTCTATTTTTGTAAGCCTTCAACAACCTGGGATGGAGCTCTGTATCCCCCGGCAACAGCATCTCTTTGACTTCCGAGAGGTGGCCCCGACGTGATCTCACCCAAAGCTGATTTCCTGTCTCAGGATTATTGTTGCAAATGTCTATGCTACTGGGCCCGTATTCAAAAGGGAGTGCTGATCTAGGATTAGGTCATTTGTGAATACAGGTCCTGATCCACTGTGTTTTTCTGCTGTCAAATAGCTGCAATGTCACAGTGCAGAATGAACTACTTTGTGCATAAATGGTAGTAGATGCATGATAGATGCATTGTAGCATTATGAAGGTTACTCAAGTGAATGAACTGCCCCTCTATCCAAGGTAGCAAGTTGACGTTGGGAAAATGTCAGATTTGTTTAGCAAGATTGCAAGTTAGCCTAAAATTGTCCCTGTGTCAGCTTGCTATCTGGGATGATTCTCCAAATTATCACAACTTGATCCCTTAGTGACATCTTTTAGGACCTTGAGCAGAAGGGCTGAAATCCTTTCCAGACAATAGCCAACTGTCAGGATGAGCTGTGCATATTGAGCCTGAGTGAAACAGCTCTCTCATGGTTTATGCAGGTCTGAGTCACTACAGTGAGATTTTATCTCTCTCTTTACTTTTCTTCGCTCACTACAAAGCTGTTTAGTCTTTACAGCTGAAAATAGAACTCTCTAAGTGTAAGACGCCAGCGGTTGAAGTGTTGAAAGTGCCTGTGAATATAAAGTAATTTATCTGTACATTGTCTGTCATTCATAACACCTCTCGCACTAGTGTATCGACAAGCTCATTATCAAAATACCCATGTGTGTAGAGCCCTGGATACTCGCTAGGAAAGTGCCTCAAGCATTGCTTGAACTTTGGCTCTTACACTACCCCCCCCCCCCCCACCCCCCACCCCCCCCTCTCTCTCCCTCCCTCTCGCTCTCTCTCACTATCCTCCTCTCCTTCCCACTGTCCTTTCTATTCCTGCCCATCCCCCTCTTTCTTGGCAGTTTTTCCTTCCGTCAGTTAGATTTCTAATCATTCCTCTTTTTAGATTGGATATCAGGTTACTGCTGTGTAAAATTAATGGAAAAGCATAATTTCAAGTAAGCCTTATTTCTGCAGTGAAAGGCACTTTGCATAGCTCTGTCCCTAGCGTCTATCTCCTCAGATTTTCAGTAACCACTGATCTCTCTCTCTCTCTCTCTCTCTCTCTCTCTCTCTCTCTCTCTCTCTCTCTCTCTCTCTCTCTCTCTCTCTCTCTCTCTCTCTCTCTCTCTCTCTCTCTCTCTCTCTCCCCATTCCCTCTCCATCTGGTCCTGTTTTCTTTGAATCTGTCCACGTGTCCTTCCATTCTTTCCATCCCTCCGTTCTCTCTCTACTCCATTTGCCCCTGCTGTCCCTCCATCCCTCCCTCCGTCCACCTACCTGTGTGTTCCACCCCACCAGGACCTGCAGGATGCAGTGCAGCAGGAGTGCATTGAGCTGCAGGAGCAGCGGGGCGACCGCCGGGAGCTGGAGGAGACCCTGGAGAAGCTGGAGCAGCACAGGATGGAGCTGGAGGAGCAGCTCAAACTGACCAGGCTGGAGTGTGTCCAAGCGAGCCAGCAGGTGAGATACACACAGAGACGACAGCTGCTGTGGCTGCTGTTAGGGGGGAATTCAGACTTAAGTTACACGCATGTAAATTGAATTTAATTCCCTTTTAATGCACTTTTCACTCTACGCGTATTCAGACCTTGAACTTAAACATGCCAGCCAGTTATACGTTTGGGGCGGAGATTACATAAATGGAGGTGTGGCAGAGGTGTGTCAGTAATACCAACATAAATAATATCACTTTAGTGTTAGTTTCCTTCAATTTGTAGCCTACATTTTACATCATCCCATTACGTCATTAGTTTACCTTTATTTCCTCTGTCATGCCCGTGTGGTTGTTCCTGAGGATCGCTAACAATAGTGGATCATATTAAGCTAATGTGTTACAAGTTGTGCAATAATTTGAGACATGTAGCTTATTTGAATCATTATGGAACGCAGACCATACATAGCAGTTCGCACTGTTCACGACGACTGGACCGTTGTCATCACAGTTCCATGATTAGTGAAGGTAGATTTATAGGATTATTGTTCAACCCCTATTGTACACTTATCTCACCTTCCAATATGTCATGGATTGAACAATTGAATATAGCAACTTTCAGGATGACTCAAACCACTGTCTTTTTGATTCACCAATATACACTATATGTACAAAAGTATGTGGACAACCCTTCAAATTATTGGATTCGACTACTTCAGCCACACCCATTGCTGACAGGTGTATAAAATCGAGCACACAACCATGCAATCTCCATAGAGAAACATTGGCAGTAGAATGGCCTTACTGAAGAGCTCAGTGACTTTCAACGTGGCACCGTCATAGGATGCCACCTTTCCAACAAGTCAGTTCGTCAAATTTCTGCCCTGCTAGAGCTTCCCCGGTCAACTGTTTGTCCCCTGAAAAAAAAAAGAAACTGTTTGTCCCCTGTAGCTCAGTTGGTAGAGCGTGGCGCTTGCAACGCCAGGGTTGGGGGTTTGTTTCCCACGGGGGGCCAGTATGAAAATGTATGCACTCACTAACTGTAAGTCGCTCTGGATAAGAGCGTCTGCTAAATTACTAAAATGTAAAACTGTAAGTGCTGTTATTGTGAAGTGAAAATGTTTAGGAGCAAGCTCACAGAACGGGACCGCCGAGTGCTGAAGCGTGTAGCGCGTAAAAATCGTCTGTCCTCGGTTGCAACACTCACTAACGAGTTCCAAACTGCCTCTGGAAGCAACGTCAGTACAATAACGTCTTTGTTAGGAGCTTCATTAAATGGGTTTCCATGGCCGAGCAGCCGCACACAAGCCTAAGATCACCATGCGCAATGCCAAGTGTCGGCTGGAGTGGTGTACAGCTCGCCGCCATTGGACTCTGGAGCAGTGGAAACGCGTTCTCTGGAGTGATGAATAATGCTTCACCATCTGGCAGTCCGACGGACAAATCTGGGTTTGGCGGATGCCAGGAGAATGCTACCTGCCCCAATGCATAGTGCCAACTGAAAAGTTTGGTGGAGGAAGAATAATGGTCTGGGGCTGTTTTTAATGTTTAATTGTTTGGGCTAGGCCCCTTAGTTCCAGTGAAGGGAAATCTTAACGCTACAGCATACAATGACATTCTAGACAATTCTGTGCTTCCAACTTTGTGCCAACAGTTTGGGGAAGGCCCTTTTCTGTTTCAGCATGACAATGCCCCCGTGCACAAAGCGAGGTCCATACAGAAATGATTTTCTGAGATCGGTGTGGAAGAACTTGACTGGCCTGCACAGAGCCCTGACCTCAACCCCATCGAACACCTTTGGGATGAATTTGAACGCCGACTGCGAGCCAGGACTAATCGCCCAACATCAGTGCCTGACCTCACTAATGTTCTTGTGGCTGAATGGAAGCAAGTCCCCTCAACAATGTTCCAACATCTAGTGGAATGCCTTCCCAGAAGAGTGGAGGTTGTTATAGCAGCAAAGGGGTGACCAACTCCATATTAATGCCCATGATTTTAGAATGAGATGTTCAACGAGCAGGTGTCCACATACTTTTGGTCATGTAGTATATTGTTTTGTGTAAAGGCTCTCCATCCCTGTTTTTGTATGATTCATAAAGACTTTCCTAACCCTAAATAATCTACAAGATCAGAGTATTTTTACATCTACTAATTGGTGCTGAAAAGCTTTCATGGATCCCTAATATTCCGAACCCGTTCACTCGATTCTAGTGAGCCTGTCGAGAAAATTCATATTAAAGGTACACAGTATTTAAAGGGATGGCTTAAGATAAATGTACTGAAAACCCTATTGAATGAAAACTCAACGAGAAAATCTGTTGGCCAACAAGTGGGAGGGTTTTCAGCGGTTAAATAACATTTATTCAGTGCGCGCAAGGGAGCCACACCTTTCTGAATCAGCCTCTTACTGAATAAAACATAACAAATACCGTTTTTATGAGTGATGATCATTTGTATCAGTGAAAGTTTATTGCACATTTTATAATTTTTATGCAGTCATCTATGCTTTGCTGGTGAGACACTGAACAACAAAGACCTTTACCAACCATAGACAGATTTGGGGCTGGATTCAATCCGTTGCGTCGAAGATCAGCATTGTAGCATGGTTGAAATGTAAAGATAATTTTCGATTGAGCCGACATATGCAGCGTTTACCGTGAACGCAGTCTCTGCGAACATGGAAACGTTGCCTTTAAATTTCAATCACACCACAACGCTGATCTTCGGCACTACAAATTGAATCCAATTTTTATGCAGTCATCTATGCTTTGCTGGTGAGACACTGAACAACAAAGACCTTTACCAACCATAGACAGATTTAGTTGGTTTGTGGTCAATTCAGACCTCTTCTCCAATCTTCAAATGAATAAAGATTATATTCATCCATGTTATCATTGCTACCCTTCACGGCTCCCACGTTAGCTCCCTCTGACTCTGCTGTCTCCTTCTTCTATCCTCCTCTGTCCCACTTCTTCCCTCCTTACAGATTCTTTCCCTGCAGGCGGAGGAGGTGGCCAGGGAAACAAAGGTGGAGGAGTATGAGCGTGAGCTGGCCCGTGCCAGGAGGAAACTCAAACAGCTGAAGATGGAGGTCAGACGGGCCCAGGGGAAGGTGGAGGAGGCGGGCGAACGCACCATCCCGCTCGAGGAGTCCATCAGCCAATCATATGAGGAGATTTTACAGGTGGATGTGTTTTAATTGAAGACCCATCCCTTCCAAATATGTCCCACTCTGGTTATAAACTCATTGTCCTTCAAAAAATGATTGCTATGGAAAGATTGGATTGATGACAGCATTACAATAGGCTAGTCTTTCATGAGTTCATTGATCCAGTCCTGCAGTCATAAAAAGGGACAGTGGTCACAAAAGACAGCATACAAGCCCTGGGCTATGGTCACAAGGGAGAGTATTCGAGCTGGTAAAGCCCATTAAGAGAATTCGACCATGGCCTCTTATTTTCCTGCCACTGTGTCTCCTGCTATTCTCCTCATGTGGCAGCTGGAACCCTGGAAGTAAGATAGCCTCACTTGCCCGGCTTCTAGGGTTTTCCTAGAATGCCAGGATGTAGAGCAAATATGAGAATATGGTATCATGCTATATGCGGGTGTGACCAACTGAGGTTCAAATCCAGGTTTCCTCTGTGTTAGCCCGCTGAGCTAAAGCTTCAGGTCTCAGGCGAAGGTACTCATCACAGGAACGTGGTTCCAAACCACCTCTGTTACATGAGACTACTAATATACAGCGGCTCAGTCAGACCGGTAGGTGGGGGATTCTGTGTTATTTCAGTCCCCTGCTGACATGCCCCCAGTGTATTGATCTGTGTTGTCACGGGACTGGAGGGTGAAGAGGCTGGTTGCATTGATCCGTTGTGTGTGTCATTGATCCTCCATGTTGATTTTTGCTCCTTTTAATCATTATGTCTCATGAGAAAAGCCTTCAAGCTGTAGTAGACCGATATTTCATATCAGCTGGATTCCTTTTGTTTGCTGATGATGTACCAGACATAATCTTTAAACAGATAACAGTCATTGATTCAGGGAGAGTTCAAAAGGTCTATGTTATTGGATAAAGACAAGCACAAGGTCTTTCAATAGCCGTGTGCCTGGTGTAACAGTACTCTTCTTGCGTTGTGTATTATCAATCATCAACACGAACGCCATCTTGTAACACCAGTCATGGAGCTTTATTCTGATAGGAACAGCACAAAATTGCACGTCATGCAATGCACGGCTCACCATCCAACTCTGCACTCACGCACGCTGGTTTGGTGCTTGTTCACTGGGGCATGTAGTTACCAAAATAATACAATTACAATATCATATCTTTAACAATGTACCTGATAGGAACAGCACAAAATTGCACGTCATGCAATGCACGGCTCACCATCCAACTCTGCACTCACGCACTGTACACAATATACAAACCCCCCACCAGACACAGTAAGTTGCTAGCTAGTATTAGCTGGAATTCTCTACAACAAAATGCACAACATATATTCACTAAAAAACACTGCGTCTTATGTGTGATGTTCGAATAACATTTACAAACAAATTGATATAAATTATACATTTACATCATCACTTGGGAGTATAAAAATCACTTTTGACGTACAGTGCTTTGCAACCAACAACTTACCACTGGTTTGGTGTTTGTTCACTGGGACGATTCTAACTGAAACATCCTCCCTCGTAAGCAAGCTATGCCAACCAGCCAATAAGATGCCATGTTGAGTAGGTGAAGGCAAGACAAAACCAAAAACCCATTGGCTTAACAATAAAGTGGCAAGGGGAATCACCAATATAACTCTGTTACACTGGCACTCAAGCCCAACCACTTACTTACTTGGTCTTTACCATGCCAAGTGGAGCAATAGGCCTTCCTCCATCTCTTCCTGTTCTGGGCAAAGCTAACACATGCATAGACTTCTCTAAGATGTATGTAAATGACAAATAATGGCTTTCGTTGATGACTGCTGTGGACTAGGAGGAGCAGATGCTCAGTACACTGAGTGGGGAGCGAACGGGAGATGCAACACTGCCAGACCACCAACAGGTGGAGCCAAACAACACATCTCCCAGCAGCCTCAGGACAGAGGACGGAACCCTAGACGTACCAGATGTACCAGCCAGGTCATGGGGCAGGAGCCAATCACTGCCTGTCTACGCTGAAATCCTGGTATATTTCATACAAATGTGTTTAAATCCCACATGATGTCCATCATAACCAGAAAACTTGGGATAGATTGAATTATGGGTCCTCCGTGCTTTGAAATTAGTTGCCTATTCTCTCTTTTCATAGGCAAACCTTGGGTGCGCGGCTCGTGCTAAGAACGGATTGGCTGATACACAAGAAGAGGAGGAGGCGACACCTACACCAAGCACACCAAAGGTATGGGTACCGTATTACCTCAGTGTATAGTACTGTAAACCAAAAATAATTTGAAGAGACTGGATGTATGAGGAAAACTCCCTTAATCTGTGAGAAATGTTTAACCTATACCTCTCTAGCAGATAGATAAGGGAGAAAAGGAAGAGAAAGTGGAGGACGAAGAAAATATTTCCCAGACACGATCCACCAGTAGCATAGCAGTCGAAGAGCTGGACTTCTACCACCCCGACCCCTTCATTCACTGTGAATCTGAACGTGAGTATCTATCTGTTCTCTGTTCCATATGATTTGATGACGATGATGATGATGGTGGTACTGATGATAACGGTGATGATGATGATAATGATGATGATGGTGGTGATGATGGGGATGATGATAATGATGATGATGGTGGTGATGATGGGGATGATGATAATGATGATGATGGTGGTGATGATGGGGATGATGATAATGATGATGATGGTGGTGATGATGGGGATGATGATAATGATGATGATGGTGGTGATGATGGGGATGATGATAATGATGATTATTTTCTTTTTGCAGATGACCTTTTCAAAGATGACGACCTCTTTGCCAAAACTGATAAATCTGGTGAGTGAAGTTCGTATCTAAAACTTTGACAATCTGATTATGATACGCTATAGCATTATCCAGGCCTCTAATTCTGTTGCGACTGATCCTTTATCGTAGATGATGACCCGTTCAAAGGCACAGACCCCTTCGCTGCAGACATCCTCTTTCCAGAGGGGACAGAGGAGCCCTATCCCTCTGCTGACCCAGACACCCCTGCCCGCCTGGAACCTGGATCTAATGACGAGACAGACAACAGCCTCTCCTGCGCTGAGAACAAAGCCTCCACTGGCACCCAGTGCTTCGAGTCCGAGTTCCCGAACGAGGACGAATCCAGCGATATAGAAATCAGTTACAGCAGGGAGGATCTGGACACTGTTCACACGGACGCTGTTGAACTCTCCTTTGTTGATCCCCAAACCTTAATCATGACCGAACGCTTGGGTTTCAAGCCCATCTATGTAGTTCAAACCTTGGATACTGAATTAGATGACGCAGATGAACCCGGCATAGCTTCTGGGCGCGAACCCTTCAGTCAAGCATCCAGGGCCAACACCTGGGCTGCTGGACCCAACTTCTCCACCGAATCAGACCCCAATGGATACGAGTTTGACATCAACGCAGTATCCCCGCCTTCCGACATAGAAGAGATCGACATCACTCTTGGATCTATACCAGTTGACTTTGACGTTGTGCCACCTAGGTACGACTCCGTGGAACCCAGCTACCCTATTGGGATTCAGGCTTGTGACTCAGAACATGCCGGAACAGGTGGATGCGACCTTCCTGAACCCAGCCCTCCTATGCCCACCCGCCCGGTCCGTCCACCTAGACGCCTCAAAGGGGGAGCGTCAACTGACCTTTTAGAAGAGCCAGACACTCCCAAAGCTGAAGGCTGTGATCCAGGTTCTTCCAACCGCTCTGCAGATTCAGAGCTGGACAGTGCTATCGGGATTGACCCTCTCACCAGCTCAGCTGAACACAACAGTAAATTCAGCTTCGGAAACAATAGTTTTGAGCTGAACTACGAGCCCAACTACGAGCCCAGTAGTCAAACTTCGTACAACTATGGATTTAAACTCAGTCCCGAACACCACAGCGAAGAGATCCTAAATCCTTTTGGCGCTGAACTCAGCGATGAAGAAGCTGACAACCAAGCCTCATTTGATCCTTACGAATTTGAGCCTACTGCTCAATCTGAGAGCCAAGACGAGTTCGACCCTTACGAGTTTGGACATACATCTCATGCTACCAACCGAGACACATTTGACCCCTATGGTTTCAAACTCGCAAGTTTTGACACTGACAACCAAGCTATCGTCGACTTACACAGTGGCGATGATACAAACCTTGAAGACAATAATAACACAAACAAAAGGGACCCCTTTAGCTTCGATTTCAGTAACGCAGCATCAATGGACCACTATAGTTCAGAACCCAGTAATACTGCAACAATGGATCTCCTTGGTCTGGAACTCAGCAGAGCCAACAGTGTTGCTGAGTCAGACTGTAACAATCCTACACCGTCTGACCCAATAGGAACAGTACAAACTATGGCAGCTGGAAGCGACCTACTGGACCTGGACCTTGTGTTTGGAAGCAGTAGTTATGGTAACCCTGATGTCACCCCTGACCTCGACCCCTGTGAACCTAGACCGGGAAACCCCGCTGGTCCAGACAACTTTGAATTCAGAGTGAGAGACACCGCCCACTCCGAATCTGTAGACACCGTTTCTGACTGGATGACTGTTAAGGTCAGTGGCTCTGTTGTTTGACACTCTGTGGACATGTGTGTTCTGGATGTGTGTGTGTTTACTGTATAGTTGTGTATGTGGTATACTGTAAGAGGGTGTGTGTAGCTGTGGGTTTGTGTGCAAGCATGGGCATGTGTGTGTGTTAGTTTGTGCATGTGTGCATATTTTACAGTTTACGATCCAGTGACAGTAACTTGAACTATCATTTGTATTCTTGCCTCACAGACCAACTCCAGGGAATCCTTGTCATTCAGCCCAGTCAACCCCCGCACACACAGCCTGGACAAATGAACCATTCCCTGGGAGGAATCACCAGTGTGGCCATGACTATGCAGTACAGCCCAACAATGGGGAAGTAGTTGGAAGGATAGGAAGCAAAGGAGGGAATGAGAGAATGAGCGTCTCTTTTCTCCAAGCTGGCATGATTCACCTTGACCCCTAGTCAAGGTTAGCAACATTGCATTGATTTGAAAGTGATTGATATGTTCATTGAAAATCATAACTTTATGATTCTAATTTCTGAGTTATTAATTGCTGATGGTTGCTTTGCAGTTATACGGCCTTGGTTTGTTCTACACCCTGTTAAAGTTGCAATACAGTACTAAATCTGGGTCCAGATGCAGTAGGTTCTCGGAGGTGAGAACATACAATTCCACATCCCTAAGACCAGAAGTTTGAAATGCATGAAAACAAAAGGATGTATTATCCTGTTTATCTTGAAACTCTTCAACCATCCTTTATCCAGCCTTTATCAGAAATACAGTATATGAGGTGCCAAGGGATAGGGAAAAGGATGGAGTGAATAGTTTGGAATTGAGCTGTCTGCAAATACAACCAATTACTTTTGAGAGAGGTGAGAACCAGGTTGGTAGAATGCAGGGTCTGAGCAGTTTTGTGTTTAAATGTTATTAGTCAACTGTTAATGAATAATTTAATAGATTTTAAGTAAAGCCATCTGTGGCCAATACAAATTGTTACATAACAGTTTAACACACCTTGGACCTTCCACGACCGGATTTGCCCTCTCCTGGTTGACTATATTATATTCTAACTATCAATGTTACATGGCGCGAGCCAAACCTTCAACAACTACATGTATATAAATCCGTATGTACTTGCTCAGACCCCCCTGGGCCAGTAATACATAGATACATTTAGGGAATTACAAAGTGAGTGAGTGGCTAATCTTTCACACATACTACTGTAAATGAACCGTTCAGCCAGTGTGCAAATATCTATAGTGTTACAAAATGAACTCCCATTTTTGCATACTGCCAATATAACAACAGCCACATGCTTAGTACAAAGTGTCTTTATTGCAGTGATGGGGAATGGCAAAACAAACAAACAGAATGTAAGAATCTAGACCCAACTGCATGTAATACACATTCATCATAAGCTACAACACATAGTCAAATAAGTGAAAAATACACTAGTAAACCTGCTTGGTCAAATAAAAGTCCATATAATCAACAAAATCTACTTATTTTTTACACATACAACAAATAATGTGTAGATACTGTACATTGTGTGCATATGCACAATATAAGCCTATGGATGCACAATTTCACCTTGTTTCATACAGTTCTTAATCCATATTTTATCAAAACATAGTTGATACTATACAGAATCAACAAGATATGGCATACAAAAAGCACAACATAACCTTTCTGCCACTGAGAAGGTTGTTCAGAAGCTACAGATGACCTTGTATTGATGTAATCAACTACCATACACCACAATGGTGTCAAATAATATCATTGCTTTTAATGAGTGGGTATACAAGTATATTCACAGTTCATATTGGTTTGAAAAACATGTCCATTTACCCTTAAATAACTTTTGTTCTTCAGCAAATAACTCTATAACAAGACACTCCTCATTGACTGTCTACCAATATTTTGCATGCTTAGATACTTAGAATTAGAACATTAATAGACATGTAGCGACTGAGGACAACAGATCTTGATTTAACTTTTATGTACTGTAGACTCATGGAGTGACCACTCTAACTATGGAAATACATGTCCTCAAAAGATGGAAGGCAGGCAGAATGAGGCGAGATCAGGTGGGACCATTCTAGCCAGTGAGGGCAGATGTGTGTGAACAACAGGCCATAGAGATGGAGGACTCATTTTGTATCTGTGCTATTATAGCATCAGGGTTACAACTCCATTTTAAAGTAGTACATTTTCTTCATTGGCTGATTGCTCCCAACTCAGAAATCCCCACCCAGTTGACTACTTTAAAATAGTGGAAGCCCTCAATGCCATTGTCCATGCTAAAACGGGTGATACCCATGAGTCCTACATCGCTCTCTATGAAAGCAGGCACAACTCCGATATAAAGGCATTTTTTTTCAAAATTGCCGAAATGTCACGAGCATCCACTTACGTCAGTGAATTTGTAAGGACCATACCATTGTGAAACTTATATTCAATCAAATAAGCCTCATGTAGCAAATCAGTTACATTTTTTGTTGACCAAATTCAACACTCATTGACCTCCATACAAAAATTCCTCACTATGTGGGCTTATTTTCGTGGACAGATATTGGGTAGAGTAAAACCTCTCGCTTCGCCCCTTCCGGTCTGGTACTGTATGATTGATCAGGAGATGCATCAAAATGCCAGCCATGTCTTCATTTGAAATGTCAGACTGCCATGAATAACACTGTTGCAGTTTTAGTATCTTTCCTTTTGCCCACAAACCAAAAAGAAGACTTGTACTTTCTGGGGCTTTAGCTTGGAATGTTGTACATTGTCCCTATAGGTTTAAAGAACTTGTACTCTCAGCTACTGATAGCATTAGAAAAGGCATCCATTAAATATTTTGTCCCAAATAGAGTAACACTTACTCAGTGAAAGGTATAGAAGAGATGACAGTTGCACTTTCTTTTACAATCTTTACTTAGAGAATACATTGATCCTGGGGTCAAATACATAAGCTGTACTTGATTCAGTTTGCCAGACAGCGAACTCCCAAGCTAAAACAAGCACATGAAAGTATTTGACATACAGTACCAGTCAAAAGTTTGGACACACCTACTCGGTCCAGGGTTTTTCTTTATTTTTACTATTTTCTACATTGTAGAATAATAGTGAAGACATCAAAACTATGAAATAACTCATATGGAATAACGTAGTAACCAAAAAAGTGTTAAACAAATCAAAATATATTTTAGATTCTTCAAAGTAGCCACCCTTTGCACACTCTTGGCATTCTCTCAACCAGCTTCATGAGGTAGTCACCTGGAATGCATTTCAATTAACAGGTGTGCCTTGTTAAAAGTTAATTTGTGGAATTTATTTCCTTCTTAATGCGTTTGAGCCAATCAGTTGTGTTGTGACAAGGTAGGGTTGGTATACAGAAGATAGTCCTATTTGGTAAAAGAACGGCTCAAATAAGCAAAGAGAAACGACAGTCCATCATTACTTTAAGACATGAAGGTCAGTCAATCCGGAAAATTTCAAGAAATTTGAAAGTTTCTTAAAAGTGCAGTCGCAAAAACCATCAAGCGCTATGATGAAACTGGCTCTCATGATGACCTACACAGGAAAGGAAGACCCACAGTTCTCTGCTGCAGAGGATAAGTTCATTAGAGTTACCAGCCTCAGAAATTGCAGCCCAAATAAATGCTTCACAGAGTAACAGACACATCTCAACATCAACTGTTCAGGGGAGACTGCGTGAATCAGGCCTTCATGGTCGAATTGCTGCAAAGAAACCACTACTAAAGGACACCAATAAGAAGAAGAGACTTGTTTGGGCCAAGAAACACAACCAATGGACATTAGACTGGTGGAAATCTGTCCTTTGGTCTGATGATTTTGGTTCCAACCGTCGTGTCTTTGTGAGATGCAGAGTAGGTGAACGGATGATCTCCGCATGTGTGGTTCCCACCGTGAAGCATGGAGGAGGTGGTGTGATGGTGTGGGGGTGCTTTGCTGGTGACACTGTCTGTGATTTATTTACAATTCAAGGCACACTTAACTAGTATGGCTACCACAGCATTCTGCAGCGATACGCCATCCCATCTGGTTTGCGCTTAGTGGGACTATCATTTGTTTTTCAACAGGACAAATGACCCAACACACCTCCAGGCGGTGTAAGGGCTATTTGACCAAGAAGGAGAGTGATGGAGTGCTGCATCAGATGACCTGGCCTCCACAATCCCCTGACCTCAACCCAATTGAGATGGTTTGGGATGAGTCGGACGGCAGAGTGAAGGAAAAGCAGCCAACAAGTGCTCAGCATATGTGGGAACTCCTTCAAGACTGTTGGAAAAGCATTCCAGATGAAGCTGGTTGAGAGAATGCCAAGAGTGTGCAAAGCTGTCAAAGGCAAAGGTTGGCTACTTTGAAGAATCTAAAATATATTTGATATAACACTTTCTTGGTTACTACATAATTCCATATGTGTTATTTTATAGTTTTGATGTCTTCACTATTATTCTACAAAGTAGAAAATAGTAAAAATAAAGAAAAACCCTTGAATGAGTAGGTGTGCCCAAACTTTTGACTGGTACTGTATATATTTGTCCCAAGAGCTGTGGAATACAAAACTCTTTACTTGGACCGTAGTGACATTTCCAATGACTGAACTTGGTAGCATACTTCTGATTTGATCCCATTACCAGAGTGAAGTAAGGATAAATACATTGTACTGATTTACACATTTATTACGCAATAAGTACTTGATGATAGTTCAACAACCCATATCGATGCTTTACACAACGTTCAAGGGTATTAATTCAACATAGTGCATCCCCTCTAGACCATCATTCAACCAATCAAATCATAATAATTCTGCCCGCCATCCAATCAACAACTGAGGACATACTAACTTCCTGAAAAGGTCTTAATACTTGTACATTCCTGTCCGTTGACAAGCTCCTCACTTGGACGTAGTGGAACCGTGTCTGTTCCTTATCTGTTCCTTCTGCCGACCACTTGGGTCTCAGTTCTAGGTCACAGTTCTAGGTCAAGAGTGGTCGGACGGTCACGCACAGCTAACGAGTAACCCCAGACACCATACTGCCACAATCTGCCAGTTGTCCATGGTTAAATCACGGTCAGATCAGTGAGGGGTGTAGACTAGTGCGGTCCTCAGAAAGAGAAGGGTACAGGGGGTTAGCCTAGGCTTGGTTGTCCCCCCTCTGTTCTAGGCTTTGTCCTTGCGCTTCAGCTTGTTGACTTTCTTGGCTCCACCATTCTTGTTGATTAGCTTCATGACTTTCTCCTTGTGGTCCAGCACCTTCATCATGGAGTCTCTAGCCTCAGTGATCTGGTCCATCACCAGCTTACAGCGCTGCATGTTACCCTGGAAAAAGGGGAGGGAGAGACAATTCAAAATGGCTGACTGACATTCATAACAAAGACTAGGCCCAGGTAGAATTTCCCCTGAGTCCTCAGAAATGGTATAAAGCTGCCTGTGGAATTGATCAAAATCATCCCAAATACTGCTAGAGGGCGGCATGCCTGGTTATAATAGTGTGTAGTAGTAGTGTTTATGGGAATAGTGAGTTCTTAGATATTGTAAACTTGTGGTCAGTCAGATAGTGATGTGAAAACATATGTGGTTTGTAGGCTATAACTAGGGCCTAGAGTATTTCCTGGTTAGGTCACGTGGTCTGGGAAAACTCTGTTCCTATCCATGAGCAGCAGACTTATTTATTTGTAAAAGCTGTGTTGTCTCGTGTTTGACCTCTGACCTGTATGAGCTCATTGATACGGTGCAGGTCATCATCTGACCCGGCCTTCTTCTTTGGGATCAGACCCTCTTGGAGGGTAGTGAGGCGGCTATACACGTCATGCTCCAGATTAGTCTAGCGATAGAGAGAGGAGAGACGTATAAAGACCAATACAACACTACAGTACAACATCACAACTGACTTATTCAGGAGGACAAGTATCTTGGTCTAAGAAGATCTCTGGTTTTAGATCCACGTCATTGTCTTCCGACAGCCACGTCATAACGTGATGCGTTGCCATGAAGCACTATCAGTGCAGACAGTCGTCGTGCCATCTGACGTGAGACTGAGATCCACTTCGGTAAAATGTTCAAGTGTCATCCCTTTTCGCTCCACCTCCAACTTCGTAACTCTTAAGTTCTCTTTTCATAATGCTTAAAAGTTGACTGCACTGAGTAACTGTACTCTCTATACAAAGATCATTGCAAAGGGAAGTAGTGTTTCTCTCACCAACTGCATGAGCTGTGCAGCACACAGGTGCATCTTCCAGCCCTGCGCTCTGCACACCACCCCTTTCTGATTAGCTACGTCCTGCAGGGTGCCCTTCTTCTCCTCTGAAACCATGACAACGCACCATTAAAGCCATATTATAATATAATCCAGTAATACCTTCAACAACACACACCATTAAGCTATTTAACTATAACTAGGGTCAGGAGTTTTTCCTGGTCAGGTTACATGGCAGGGATAAACTCTAAGCCCTAGTCATGTAATGTGTGTGCTATGAAAGTGACTGGTCATTTGCTAGCAATTTAAATAGCATTTCCCTGATTAGCATTTTGTGATGTCTCCAAAAAATTTGAAGTCAACAAATGACACTCGCTTTCATAGCATACTACACCTTCCAGTTTTGCATCACAGTGCACATAGCACAATAGAAAGTCGTCCTCTTGATTTGTGTATGTGTGATTTCTAAATGTTTTCCTATGTATGCATTTTAACATCTGGTGAGAATAATAACCTTGTGTGATGTTGTTGTAATAATTGTTGTGTAATTTAGATTGTCCAAACAAAACAATAAATAAACAATTCAACATCAAAAAGCCTCCAGAGCATCACTGGCATTTCAGTCCTCAATTAGCGCATTTCAGACCCAGAATAATATAATTTCAGTCCCCCAAAAAATTGAATTTCAGTCCCTCGAAAAGCACATTTTATAATATACATTTAGTTTTTAGTTAATTTCTTTGCAAAATAGAAAGACAGTTTGTACAAAGTAAAATAAAATAAAAAACTATGTGCAGGAGGGGGAAAAAGCCCAGGGCTTGTTGAGTAGCACCGCCCCCCCCCCCCCAGTGGTCATAAATCACACAGTGTGGACAAATAAATGCAAAAGAGGTCAAATAAAATAAAATCTAAGCAGTAAGCCAAACTACTGGGGCGTAGAGCTGTGATGGACAGTAGTTGCCTCAAATTTCTTTCAGTACAATGACGGGGATAGCTTGGCAAAATCAGGCGGGAGTGAGTTCCAGATCATAGGGCCTCTGTAGGTCATTCGGAATTGGTTGTTCTTGAATGTGGGTGCCGTAGCTGTTGTCTGTTAATTGTTAGTAGTTATGGAATTCATGTGGCAGTGAAATCGTTTTTGAAGAAAGCGGGTAGTTAGTGATTTAAAGAGCCGTAAACAAATTGAGCAACTTGAAGAGAATTCCTTGAATAAATATTCAGTCCTAATTGTTTGAAAAGTGGTGATAAATGGTCTCTAAAACCGGCAGACATTATTATTTTTACAGAGCGTTTCTGCAGGCGAAAGATTGATAGTAGTTTGGTATGCTGTGTGCTGGCCCATGTAATGTTACAGTAACTGATGAATGGGAAGATCATTGTGTAATAGAGACAGAGCAGTGCTTCGGTTTATGAGATATCTAATTTTGCCAAGTCTCCTCGTATTTCTGATCTTAGAGGTTATAGTCTTTGTGGTTTCCATGACAATTCATCATCAATCAAAACACCAAGAAAGAGGGTCGTACAGGCTTGATCAACAGGCATATTAAATCGACAAAAGCCACTTGTCCTAGAGAGATTTACACAGTAATCAAAACATCACGCCAGGGTAAGCCTACACGAAACACAGCCCTTATTGTAAGTGTTTCTAAAATCTCCTATGGGAAAAATGAATGGTGGAAAAACGGTTGGAACCATTTCCCTGTTTGACCGCTAGGTTTTATGGGTATTATGATTCATACTGTGGTATATATAGTCTTTATTGTATTTTCTGTTCTTTGGACTAAATCTTCATTTTTTTTTGATTCAGTGACAATTTGTTGATTTGAAACCACTGAGATATTACACAGTTCATAATTAACAACATTAATAAGGTAATTGAGATTTCTGTGAGAGTAAAACACACTTATATGATCAGCAAACAATATCTGGGAGAGCACTTTGGATGCTTTGGGCTGATCATTTATATAGATAAAAGAATAATAGGGTCCAAGAATTGATCCCTGCGGCACACTACACTTATTCTCTATTCCTTTGAAAGTCACATATTGCTTTCTATCCTTTAGATAGCTGGAAAACCAAAGCAGAGATTGTTCATTCACGCCCTAGTTTCAAGTTTTTTATTTTTAACGAGGGGTTGGGTTGTGGAACCCTGTCAGCACGGCCACTGCCCTTTAAATAATTCACTCATTGCTTCAAGCCATACCTCGCCACACCCACCAAACAGGAGCAAACGTACCTTAAAGTCTGTTCAAGAACATACAAGAATGTTTGGGGGAAACTTGCCGTTCAGTACAAACCTTTCCGCAATGTAGCAAACGTTCAAGCGAACTGAACGCACCTCAGCTCTCTCCCGAGTCGCGCAAGCAAGTCTCCAAAAATGTTTTTCTTTAAAACGCATGTATTTCCGGGGGAAAAAAATAATATTTGAATAGTGAAATAATTTCAAATGCCCATCCCTAGTTCTTGAGAGATCCCGAAAATACCTAATGTATGATCTTTGCGATCATTTGTTTTATGTATTTCGTCAATTAAATAGAGAGAGATTTTCTGAAGCCATACGGATGTTTGCATAATAGATATTTCATTTATCCGTTATATGAAAGCTTCAAAAATATTTTTTATATCCGGCGAAATTCAGATTGTCTGTAATTTGTCAAGTTTGCTGGATCGGCTTTATGAATAGGAACAATTTTGGCCATTTTCAGTTCATAGGGCACAATGCCCTTTGCAAATGATACATTGAAAATGTGGGCAAGAGGTGTGATAATGAAATCATCCACGTCTTTAGCCAGTTTAGCATATAATCTGTCGTGGGTAATTTGGTTGGTGCTTATATTGGTCCAATTTCACACATGTACAAGTGTGTATTAATACGCATGTGTGAATTGTACAAGTGTGTATGTTTTTTTTGTTGCATATCCCAACTCTCCCTGAGACACCCTCGGAGAGTGGGGTCACGGCCAGGATCTGCCATTATCAACAGCGACCCTGGAGCAATTAGGATTAAGTGCACAGGAGGTTGATGGCACCTTAATTGGGGAGAACGGGCTCGTGGAAATGGCTGGAGTGGAGCAGAATGGTATCAAACACATGGTTTCGATTCCGGCCATTATTATGAGCAGCAGCCTCCTGTGGTTAAGTGCCTTGCTCAAGGGCACATAGACAGATTTTTCACCTTGTTGGCTCGAGGATTCGAACTAGGGACCTTTCGGTTACGGGCCCAACGCTCTAACCGCTAGGCTACCTGCCGCATTTTAGTCCCATTAAGTGCATTTCAGTCCCACAACAAGCTCTTAGAACCCAGAATGTATGAAAATGCATTATAAATACAGTTATGATTTAATGTTATCAATAATAAAGACATTGGTCTGACCTTTGACCCGGATGTCGCTGTATCTCTGGAAGTGGTGGTAGGCAGCCTTCCAAGGGTTCCTGTAGTGGCGGAGGAGGGTGACCGGGGGGCGAGCACGGGTGGGGACGTAACGCACCCCCTCCTCATCTGCAGGGAAGAGAAACGTACAGTTGTCACTTACAAGGTCAAATGTAGAGAAATTAGGTCTTAGAGAAATTAGCATGTTGCCTACCGTAACTGCAGCAAGCTTACCCTTAACCTGGACATGTGAATCATGAATAAAGAGGTTGAGTATCTTCTTTCTCCTACCTATGTACTCCTTGAGGGGCGACTTGCGTTTCTCGGCCCTCATGCTGAGGGGTCTGGCCAGGACCTTCTCCTCGTCCGTGCTGTTGGTCTCCATCATCTCGCTCTCTTCCGTGGAGATGACATGCTGCTGCTTCCGGGGCTTCTTCCTGGGGGAGGCCCCGGGGGTCACATCCCCACCGGGCATCATGGACAACAAGGGGGCACCACCATGGGGCATGGGGGGACCTGGAGGGAGAGAGGAAGAACAAGGAGATCAATAGTTCAGGGCCCGTATACACAAAGTGTCTCAGAGTAGGAATGCTGATCTATTTTGATATTATTTTTTTTACGATCCTAGATCAGCAATAGAAGAACACCAATAAAAAAAAAAGTTAAAGACAATATCGTGGCAAATTATTTTTTCAATTTAAAATGTACCTGGTTTGGAGGTATCCATGGCCTCCACCTCCTGCTTTATCTTGATCTCAGGGAGGGTGGAGCTTATTCCACATGCCGCAGTGCTACTGGCCGCTGACTGGGTAGCTGGAACCACCACGTTGGCCATAGACAAGATTGGTGGAGTGATGGCGGACAGGGCGGGGCCAGGCTGTGAATGTGGGGGTGCTGACACTGAGAGGAGCGTCTGGATTGGCTGAGAGGGGTGCTGGTGGGGCGGGGCTCCGGGGTGCTGCTGCTGTTCATTGGTCTGATGGCTGGGCAGAGCCTCCATGGAGGATGACGTCACCAGGGGAGCCAGGGACACGTGGAGATCAGGCTTGTGCTTCACACTGGGAGGACAGGGAAAAGATAATCAACCACCCAATCATTTTAAAGTACATTTTCAACTACAAGATGTTATTAATACTAGAGTATGCGGTTCACCAGAGGATTCCAGCGTGTGCACACAGCATAGTCTTTGATCAGTGCCTACTAACAATGTGCAGTGCTAAGTCTTACCCTGCTGGGCGTGGAAACCCTGATGCATGCCTGATTCCTCCGTCTATCCTGGGGCTGGTGGCCTCTGGGATCAAGTTCTTCCTCACTGCAGACCTTTATAGGGAAAACAGACACAGGTTAGTGCTGTGATAAAAGAAAAGCCTACTCAAACTGTAGCTGCTCATGAATAGGGCTGTGGCGGTCACAATTTCGTCAGCTGGTGATTGTCAAGCAAATAACTGTCGGTCTCACGGTAAGTGACCGTTAATTAACATAAAAACATTTAACATCTCCTGGCTTCCACACACAGCCTATAAGCCACTGATGCAGACCTTTGGAACATCTACATTTTAAAAAGTCTTATAAATCTGTGTAATATAGACCACACCTTCACAATAAATATATTATCTATTTTAGACAGGTCTAAACATGATATGAAGAAAATGTAGTCTAGTTCAGAAGAACAGAATAGCATACTCTGAGTTGTCTTCATGTTAGGCACTGATCTGGCTATGCCATATGGCTGTGGGCTACACTAGGTCAATTAGCAGACAAGATTTGCTTAGAGCAGACACCTCTAGCACTGCAGTGCCTTAGACTGCTGTGCCACTCGGGAGGCTATTTTATAGTATGAAGAATACAATTGAACAAATCTCCCAATGATTTGAGAGAGTGCGCACATTCGGCTATTTTATATTTTATTAGGATCCCCATTAGCTGTTGCAAAAGCAGCAGCTACTCTTCCTGGGGTTCACACAAAACATGAAACATGACATAATACAGAACATTAATAGATAAGAACAGCTCAAGAACAGAACTACATACATTTTTGTTAAAGGCACACGTAGCCTACATATCAATACATACACACAAACTATCTAGGTCAAATAGGGGAGAGGCGTTGTGTCGTGAGGTGTTACTTTATCAGTTTTTTGAAACCAGGTTTGCTGTTAATTTGAGCAATATGAGATGGAATGGAGTTCCATGCAATAATGGCTCTATATAATACTGTACGCTTCCTTGAATTTGTTCTGGATTTGGGGACTGTGAAAAGACCCCTGGTGGCATGTCTGGTGGGGTAAGTGTGTGTGTCAGAGCTGTGTGTAAGTTGACTATGCAAACTATTTGGGATTTTCAACATATGTTTCTTATAAAAAGAAGTGATACAGTCAGTCTCTCCTCAACTCTTAGCCAAGAGAGACTGGCATGCATAGTATTTATATCAGCCCTCTGATTACAATGAAGAGCAAGACGTGCCGCTCTGTTTTGGACCAGCTGCAGCTTAACTAGGTCTTTCCTTGCAGCACTGGACCGCACGACTGGACAATAATCAAGATTAGACAAAACTAGAGCCTGCAGAACTTGCTTTTTGGAGTGTGGTGTCAAAAAAGCAGAGCATCTCTTTATTACGGACAGACCTCTCCCCATCTTTACAACAATTGAATCTATATGCTTTGACCATGATAGTTTACAATCTAAGGTAACGGCAAGTAATTTAGTCTCCTCAACTTGTTCAACAGCCACACCATTCATTACCAGATTCAGCTGAGGTCTAGAACTTAGGGAATGATTTGTACCAAATACAATGCTCTTAGTTTTAGAGATGTTCAGGACCAGTTTATTACTGGCCACCCATTCCAAAACAGACTGCAACTCTTTGTTACGGTTTCAGTGACTTCATTAGCTGTGGTTGCTGATGTGTATATGGTTGAATCATCAGTATACATGGACACACATGCTTTGTTTAATGCCAGTGGCAGGTCATTGGTAAAAATAGAAAATAGTAGAGGGCCTAGAGAGCTGCCCTGTGGTACACCACACTTTACATGTTAGACATTAGAGAAGCTTCCATTAAAGAAAACCCTCAGTTCTATTAGATAGCTCTGAATCCACGATATGGTAGAGGTTGAAAAGCCATAACACATATGTGTTTTCAACAACAGGCTATGGTCAATAATATCAAAGGCTGCACTGAAATCTAACAGCACAGTTCCCACAATCTTCTTAATATCCATTTCTTTCAACCAATCATCAGTCATTTGTGTCAGTGCAGTACATGTTGAGTGCCCTTCCCTATAAGCATGCTGAAAGTCTGTTGTTAATTTGTTTACAGAGAATAACATTGTATTTGGTCAAACACAATTTTTCCAACAGTTTGCTAAGAGCTGTCAGAAAGCTTATAGGTCTGCTGTTAGAACCAGTAAAGGCCGCTTTACCATTCTTGGGTAGCGGAATGACTTTGGCTTCCCTCCAGGCCTGAGGACAAAGACTTTCCTCTAGGCTCAGATTAAAGATATGACAGATAGGAGCGGCTATAGAGTCAGCTACCATCCTCAGTAGCTTTCCATCTAAGTTGTCAATGCCAGGAGGTTTGTCATTATTGATCGATAACCATTTTTACACCTCTCCCACACTAACTTTACAAAATTCAAACTTGCAATGCTTTTCTTTCATCATTTGTTTTTTTATGCATGAATACGCTGTCTCACTGTTCATCAAAATAACATCAAATGGTTTTGTGATGAATAAGCCATTTGATTCAATGAAAGATGGAGTTGAATGTCTTTCTGCCCATAATTTCATTTAAAGTACTCCAAAGTTTTTTTCCATCATTCTTTATATCATTTATCTTGGCTTCATAATACAGTTTCTTATTTTTGTTGAGTTTAGTCACATAATTTCTCAATTTGCAGTAAGTCAACCAGTCAGATGTGCAGCCAGACTTATTAGCCACTCCTTTTGCCCCATCTCTTTCAACCATACAGTTTTTCAATTCCTCATCAATCCATGGACAGTCAGTTTCCTAACAGGTGCATGTTTATCAATAATTGGAAGAAGCAATTTCATAAATTAATCAAGTGCAGTGTCTGGATGCTCCTTATTAATCACATCAGACCAACAAATATTTTTTACATCATCCATATATGAGTCACAGCTAAATCTTTTGTATGATCTCTTATACACTATTTTAGGCCCAGCTGTTGGAACTTTGGCTTTCCTGGATATAGCCACTATATTGTGATCACTGCATCCAATGGGTACGGATACAGCTTTAGAACAAAGTTCTACAGTATTAGTAAAAATGTGATCAATACATGTGGATGATCTTGTTCCTGTAGTGTTTGTAAACACCCTGGTAGGTTGATTAATAACCTGAACCAGATTACAGGCACTGGTTACAGTAAGAAGCTTCCTCAAGTGGACAGCTAGATGAAAACCAGTCAATATTCAGGTCCCCAAGAAAGTAGACCTTTCTGTTTAAATCATACACCATCAACCATTTCACACATATTATTTAGATACTGACTGTTCGCACTTGGTGACCTATAGCAACACCCCAAAAGAAAAGGCTTTAGATGTGGCAAGTGAACCTGCAACCACAACACCTGCAACCACAACATTTTCTCTAAGCATTACAGGGATATGGCTCTGAATATATACAGCAACACCTCCCCCATTAGCATTTCTGTCTCTTCTATAGATGTTATATTCTTGTATTGCTACTGCTGTATCATCAAATGTATTATCAAATGAAGTGAGTCTCAGAAATGGCTAATATATTAATGTTATCTGATGTTAGAAATAAGGTTCATGAAATCAATAACTTGCTAAGGCTACAGTGGGGAAAACAAGTATTTAGTCAGCCACCAATTGTGCAAGTTCTCCCACTTAAAAAGATGAGAGAGGCCTGTAATTTTCATCATAGGTACACGTCAACTATGACAGACAAAATGAGGAAAAAAAATCCAGAAAATCACATTGTAGGATTTTTTATGAATTTATTTGCAAATTATGGTGGAAAATAAGTATTTGGTCAATAACAAAAGTTTCTCAATACTTTGTTATATACCCTTTGTTGGCAATGACACAGGTCAAGTTCTTGGCTCTTTCCAGAACAGTTACCTTGTCCTTGAACCTCAGGAACTTGACCACTATCGGCTGGGCCTGTCACCTGGGCCGGTGGTGGGTTTTCCAGTCCTGTGGGCGCGCTCCACCTCAATCTTCCTGTGGTCCATCTTCAATTTCTCACAGATCATTTCCCTCACTTTGTCCTCAGACTCTGTCCAGGTCTCATGTGGAGATTCTGCAATTCCATCCACAACCATGTTGTTACGCCTTGAATGTCCCTTGAGCCTGATTTATCCGTCATTGTTATCATGGATTCACACACAGAACTGATGTCCTCTCTGAATGACTTACAGACTGCTGTAATATTGCCGTTCTCCTGTTTCAACTCATTGAGCTGACCCTGGGAGAACTGCAAACTGTTCTTTAGGTCCTGGACCTCTCTGGTCAGGTCGTCCATTATTTTATTAGTTGAATCCACCAGTATTTGGACAAAGCACTTGACGCTATTTTCTTGTTGTTGTAACAACTGCTTGTAGAACTATTTTTGTTTGTTCAAAAGATCCTTCACGTGTGATAGAGAACCGCCACTTTCCACGACAACGGTACTCCCGCCGGCTTTGGTCTTTGTCATGGTAGCAACGTAGGTTACGCTGTTACTCCTCGCAGTTCCAGACAGGGCAGGTCACAGGAAAGATTGAAAACAACAAACAGCAGGGATCTAGACAGCCACAAACCCGGGACAATCCGCGGTCCCAGCCACAATGGCTAACCGCGTCGCGGCCTGCGTTCAAGCCCTCAAGAAAACCCTACTAGCTTGATATGCTGCTAGCTAGCAGCTAGGCTAGCTGCAACGCCAAATAGCTCCTCAGACCCATCCTTGGTCAGCAGGATCACTGGAAAGAGACTAGCAATCCCAGCAACTGATGCCAACTGTGTCGCGGGGATATTCTGTGTTGAGCGGTTAACAAAGAAATAGGTAGTCCTACAGTGAGGGAAAAAAGTATTTGATCCCCTGCTGATTTTGTACGTTTGCCCACTGACAAAGACATGATCAGTCTATAATTTTAAATGGTAGGTTTATTTGAACAGTGAGAGACAGAATAACAACAAAATCCAGAAAAAGGCATGTAAAAAAAAATCTAAATTGATTTGCATTTTAATGAGGGAAATAGGTATTTGACCCCTCTGCAAAACATGACTTAGTACTTGGTGGCAAAACCCTTGTTGGCAATCACAGAGGTCAGACGTTTCTTGTAGTTGGCCACCAGGTTTGCACACATCTCAGGAGGGATTTTGTACCACTCCTCTTTGCAGATCTTCTCCAAGTCATTAAGGTTTCGAGGCTGACGTTTGGCAACTCAAACCTTCAGCTCCCTCCACAGATTTTCTATGGGATTAAGGTTTGGAGACTGGCTAGGCCACTCCAGGACCTTAATGTGCTTCTTCTTGAGCCACTCCTTTGTTGCCTTGGCCGTGTGTTTTGGGTCATTGTCATGCTGGAATACCCATCCACAACCCATTTTCAATGCCCCGGCTGAGGGAAGGAGGTTCTCACCCAAGATTTGACGGTACATGGCCCCGTCCATCGTCCCTTTGATGCGGTGAAGTTGTCCTGTCCCCTTAGCAGAAACACACCCCCAAAGCATAATGTTTCCACCTCCATGTTTGACGGTGGGGATGGTGTTCTTGGGGTCATAGGCAGCATTCCTCCTCCTCCAAACACGGCGAGTTGAGTTGATGCCAAAGAACTTGATTTTGGTCTCATCTGACCACAACACTTTCATCCAGTTCTCCTCTGAATCATTCAGATGTTCATTGGCAAACTTCAGACGGGCCTGTATATGTGCTTTCTTGAGCAGGGGGACCTTGCGGGCGCTGCAGGATTTCAGTCCTTCACGGCGTAGTGTGTTACCAATTGTTTTCTTGGTGACTATGGTCGCTGAGTACCAGGTAGTTAGCAAGTTTGGTAGGCTACTTATGACCATCAGCAGCATCAGAGCTTGGAGAAGCCTAATTACCGTGATTAAACGGTCACGTGGAATTTGACTGCCTTCATGACTTGTGACCGCTGGAGTGGCGGTAATACGGTCACCGCAACAGCCCTACTCATGACAAGGGTTGGTGACCACAACTGCTCTAGTAAGTAGTAGCATTCACAAAATAAAACCGTAAGGGGTTTTCTAAACTCACCCCTCGTTGGCAGGCTTCTTGCGTAGGATGCTAGGCCGGGGAGAGGACACCAGGGTGGGGGCACCAGGCCCAGTGTTCTGGGGGTGTGTCTGCCCCACAGAGGTGGGCGGCTGACTGCTGCCGAACGTCTGGCTGATGGGGTTGGTTACCAGAGTAGAGCCGTCTGCTAACACAACTGAGAAGACAGAGCAATGTTGTTGTCAGAATAGTTGTTTTGAATAGTTGTCTGAAAAGAATAGCTGTTGTGAATCATAGTAATACTTTTTTTCCTTTCTCCAATAAATGACATAAAAATAAATGTAACCAAACTGGAGAAAATGCATAGAATGATTCTATTCATAATATATCTCAGACCTGATTTTAACTTTCAAAGAAACTTAAACTGCTTTGTTCACCAACTCACTTGAGGTCTTGTTCTCATTGGTTGGCTGTTGTGGGTTGATGGGCGCCGGTTGGATGTTTTGTGCAGTGATCTGACCGGTGGTGGCGTGAAGGCCCTGGGCACTGATGGTGGTTGGCTGGATGCCCTGCGTGGCCATGCCGGCGGGCTGGATGTTCTGCGTGTTGATCTGAGCGATGCGGTCCACCGTCATCAGCTGCATGGGGTTGAGGTGCACCGCCGACGCTACGCCCACACTGGTCTGGGTCTGCATGGCTGTGCCGCTGGGAGCCTGAGGGGTTACTGTAGGGGTGACAGGAAACCGAGAGATGTTGGGTTTGGATTTGACACACAGGATGAAGGATGGTATTATAGATGTAGATTAGACTAGAGCATAATTAGGTTGAACATGAAAATGTATGCACTCACTAACTGTAAGTCGCTCTGGATAAGAGCGTCTGCTAAATGACTAAAACCTCAAATGTAACATAGCTTAGAAAGTCAGAGCTTATTAAAAATGTAATTGATTAACAAAATGATCAATAATTTTGATTAAAGTGAGTGTTCAGGAGTTAACAATCTGGCTCTGTGAAAACGACAGAGTATTATCTGACTGGTTGCAGTCACATAGAGCCAGATGTAGCTTTCTGTTAAGAGGGAGAGGAGAATGGTACCTGGGTACTGTCGGATGGTGGACACAGAGCTGGTGATGGGGGTGTAGGTGTGTGTCAGAGGGAACGGTGAAGAAGGGTAGGTAGGCAGGAAGTACTGGAACTGCACTGGCACTGATTGCCTGTGGGGGAACATGCATATCAAATGAATGAAATAAAACAACCATATCGAAAACTTTCAACTAACAACCAGGAATTTACTCCAAGTACATCAGAAATTAGGAGACTGACATTTGACACTATTGAGATGTAGCCGAGGACCAACGAGGACCACTTTGGAAATAAATGTTTTCATGCGCTATCCTCTGGATCAAATAATCGTCTTGTTGATTAAATGTATCGTCAACCCAAAATAAAAATGAATCAATCAGCCCTCGTCGCTGACCTGTTGTCACTGCGGGCCTCCATGGTGATGGGGTTCGGGGAGGAGCGGTGACCAGAGATGGGGATCAGGTTGCCCCTCTCTCCAGGGTACTCCGGCTGGATCCTGGGTGAGGTGTGGGCTATCGGCTGGGGAACCACCTTAGCTGAAGAGGGTGGAGGTGGAATGGTGTACAATCAGCTGGGTGAAATTGTAATCTTACAACATATAAATCACCCTGTAGGGACTTCTGTAAATTCAATGTAAGCTAAACATTACAGAATCTGATGCAATGTATTCGACCGTTGATAATTCAATGTGTCACTGTTCTTAATAGCCACTCTACTCCTATCAATTACTTATTAGATAAGTAAACATTACATGAAATGTGGAGTAGGTTACTCCAGAGAGTAGCTTGGTGCCTTTGCACTCCTTCAACATTAATGATTGAGATACTTACCCACAGGGATGTTGGACGTGGTGACTGCTGTGGCGTGGGAGGAATGAGAGGTCATCGTCATGGTGACGATGTTACTGTTGGTCATTTGGGGGTGAGGTCCTGAGTGAGTTACAATAATGTGGTTATTACACCATTAAAACAGAACAAAGGAAACAGTCGGTCTTGATAGTTGATAGTGTCAATATGATGCTGGAATGAAAATAGATTAGTTAGACCTATCTCTATCACAACAACAGCATCATACCCGTAGTGCTTGGCGATGGAGCAGTATTGGTGGCTAATATTGGGGCAACAGTTGCTGCCGCGACAGGAGTCACATTGCTGAACATGGGCTTCTGTGCCATGGTGTGGGGCAGCTGGGGTTTCTGACCCCCAATGGCAGGGTGGGAGGGCAGGGTGATGCGTGTGGGGTTGTCCCGAGATTGGGGAGGACGCTGGATGCTCATAGTGGCTGGAGGGGGGTGGATATTCAGTCCTGGACGCCTGATGGAAGAGAGCAAGAGGATAGTTAACATTGGTTTTACGTACACTTGCAATAGCTGGAATAGTATTGGGCTCCCTAAAATTAACTATCTCAGCGGGAGTCATCTAGATCCATTTACAAAAGAAACAGTAAAAAATGATTAACGCTTTCAGCATGTCATACTGTGTTTATTTTCCTTACCCATGAACCATCTCTGCGGAGTGCGTGGCTGAGCTAACCACTGGGGACTGAGGCCTGGTGGCCGTTAATGGGGCAACTACCGTGGGCATCACAGCTGTGGACGTTGTGACTATAGGGCGGGACTGGATGGGCTGGTGGATGATGTGCTGGACAGTAGGTGGGCCAGTGCCACCACCAGGGCCTGTAGCAGGTCTCAGCACTGTTTGTCCTTTGGAACTGGACATCACAGCAGCTGCAGCAGCTCCTGGAAACACACATGAACAACAGTTAGCCATGTCTGTTCTTAGGATGGTTCTGCTGAGGACCTACAGTAGGTTAAAATATGAACAAACCACTAGGGTGCATTTTTTTTGTCAGTACCTTGACCATTTTCAGAATTATAAACTTTTTATAATTCTGAAAATGGTCAAGGTACATCAACTATGCTACTATGCTGTCTTGGGCACTGACTGACCTCTGGGCAGATGGGAGGTGAAGGTGTGCTGGGGGGTTCCAGGGGAGCCGAGCTGCAGGGGCGGGGCGTTGCTGCGGATGATCTGCACGTTGGTTGTCATCAGGTGATGGTGCAGGTTACTGGGGTTGCCCTGGAAACGCCACGCCCATGGACACAAAGCATTATAGATTTGGAACCACATTTTTCATCATGTCATCACATTGGGTAGACCTCAATAGGGTATATTATTGCTGGGGTGTATTACAACTACAAACACCAGTCCTTACCTGTTGGCCACTGATAGTTGCAACAGGGATGCCGGCGGTCTGAGGCACAGTGCTCTCCATGGTTACAGTGACGTGGCTTGGCACCTTGGGTGGCAGGGCGATGTGGCCCTGGGTGTTGGCTGGTGCTGGGGCGATCACTCGACCGGGCATGGGGGACTTCAGAGCTGGCTGCACCTAAGAAAAGGCATGGAGAGATGAGAGAAGAGAGAAGATGAGATAAAGTCAGCTCAAGACAGAGAGAGAGGGCTAATGCAGCAGACAGAGCTCTGAGCTCCCCCATCCATACCTTCATGGGCCCTTCAGTGAAAGCCAGAGGCAGGCCCTGGGGGATGTGTGGTGGAGGGGCTGACACTGTGACGGGCATGCCCTGCTGGAGGGGCAGGTGCCCTGCTGGAGTGGGGTGACCCTGGGGGGGTCCATGGACCTGGGCTTGGGGGTAAGGCCGGACCACCACTGTCTCCTGCTTGTCATCTCTGAAGGTCGATGCTCCACCACCACTGCTGGGGTGGTCACGAGGACCGTGGTCTGGGTGAGGGTCACGGTTGCCATCATCTGCCCCACCTGTGGTACAAAGAGTTGGAGTTACTTTTTATGAAGCAGACTTGCAGTGGTAGGAAAAGTACCCAATTGTCATACTTGAGATACCTTTATAGAAAATGACAAGTAAAAGTGAAAGTCACCCAGTGAAATACTACTTGAGTAAAAGTCTAAAAGTATTTGGTTTTAAATATACTTAAGTATCAAAAGTAAATGTCATTGCTAAAATATACTTAAGTATCAAAAGTAAAAGTATAAATCATTTTAAATTCCTTATATTAAGCAAACCAGACAGCATAATTTTCTTGTTTTTGTTTATTTATGGATAGCCAGGGGCACACTCCAACACCAAGACATCATTTATGAATAGAGTATGTGTTTAGTGAGACCACCAGATCAGAGGCAGTAGGGATGACCAGGGATGTTCTCTTGATTAGTGTGTGAATTAGACGATTTTCCTGTCCTGCTAAGCATTCAAAATGTAATGAGTACTTTTGGGTGTCAGGGAAAATGTATGGAGTAAAAAGTACATTATTATCTTTAGGAATGTAGTGAAGTAAAAGTAAGTTGTCAAAAAAAAAAACTACTAAAGTACAGATACCCCAAAAAACTACTTAAGTAGTACTTTGAAGTATTTTTATTTAAGTAGTTTACACCACTGCAGACTTGACTGACCAATGATTTCACACACACTGACTGACCACTGCAAATAGTTGTGAAAGCTGTGATACAAAGTGAGTTAGTTCTGCTGTGGGTTAGCAGGTTGCATGATGTTACCTGCTGTGTTTGGTTGACTACCAGACACCATTGCCGTGTTTCCTCCAGGAGTCTGGTTTTGTCCCATACTAGGAGGTATTCCCGGTCGTGGATATTGTTGAGAACTCATCTTCTGACACACTTGATAGCTATGCAAGGAAGATAACAATATTAAACCTGACAGGTATGTAGATACAAGTTTTCACAGATGAATGTTGCCAACATCTAAGCAGGTATTTTCTCCAAACCATATATCAGGGATCATCAACTAGATTCAGACACATGACAATTTTTTCTTTAGTGGATGGTCAGGGGGCCGGAACCGAATTACAAATCATTTGTAGACTGCAAATTGGCTGCAAGAAGCCCAAACAAATATTAGAATTTATGTGAAACATCACAGCACAGTTGAAAAATGTATTGCACATGGAAATCATAAGAGGGCAGTTTACAGAGAAGGGTAGGATGGACAGAGTAGCTGAGGAGTGGATTTAAAAGCTCATGTTCTATAATAGTTATGACCAATGTTCGCTCTAAAAATTTTTGGCACTGAGAAAATGTCAGGTCTGCTGAGCACAAACGAACATTTTAACATGGCAATAGCTGTTCTATCATTCAGCCTACAGTAGCCTGTCAATGCAATAGAATCCTATTCCGATGCGTTCTGCCTACAACAAAATCTCTTGCATAGTTAGCTTTGCATACTAATATTGCGTTGATTCGATCACAATTCCAACAGTAAAGGGAAACGTTGATAGTGTTAACGGGGGAAAACTCTATAAAGTTGATTGTGCTTCTCTGCGCAGGCTGATATTTATTCTGCACCGCAGTCCTGGGGGAACATTGGTACATTGGTTATGACTGATGTTTAATGTGTAAGTACTATCCAGATGTAATGTATATCAAATTACTTTATTCTTGCTATGTAACTACTGTAGTAGAAAAAAATGTATGTATGTCAAATGTGTGTAGAAAGACAACAAAAGTGGTCCTCTGCAGCTCAATTGGTAGAGCATGGTGCTTGTAACGCCAGGGTAGTGGGTTCGATCCCCGGGACCACCCATACCATACGTAAAAATGTATGCACAAATGACTGTAAGTCGCTTTGGATAAAAGCGACTGATAAATGGCATATTATTATTATTATTATTAAAAGAAAAAGCTGTAAAAACAACGTTTATTTTTGTCCTCCGAAGAGGGGGGGTGGGGGGATGGTGGATGGCCCCATTTTCTAAAATAAAATAATAATATATATATATATATAAAAAATATTTGACTAAAACATACTAATTTCAAACCTTATTTTTGTATACTCTCACGTATCTCTCTCCATTATGCGTGGGAATACTTTGGAACAGATTTCCAAAATGTTAATCACTTGGAGCCGATTTGCTGGTGTGTATACAGTATTTTAAATGTCCAACAATAAACAAATAAAAAACGATATATATTTGTTTTGTTCAAAAAAACTTGGTGGAGCCAAATAAAATTATCGCGGCCCAAATTTGCCAACCCTGCCGTACATGACATTGTCAATGATTTATCTGCAAGTTGTAACCATAGTTAGCCACAAACAGCTGGCTAGCTAACTAACTTGAGCCGGGCCAACCTTGGCCATGAACACTCTGCAGTAGACTGGATCCAAGCCAAGGATAACACTGTTTACTCCCGAGTCCTTGACATTAGCTTGCTACAACTTCAATGCAGTCCCAATAGCTAGCGAGCGACTGTAGTTGCCATTACAACTAGCTAGCTAACTAAGTTAGTCGGCTGGCCACTGACTTGTTCGTTTGTAGCTAACTAGCTGGTTGGTTGACGCTACTTCGATGTAACCAGTTTCTACCTAACCAAGTTGAACAGACAGCTTAACTAACATCTGCTGTTATAGCTTATTTATATCAAGGAAACAACACAGGTGTGCGGGTGCGTGACCGAAGTCGTAATTAGCTATAGCTTCAAAGACAGTTTCTTTTACGCCTGCTACGTTAGGTTAGTACATAGCTGCTAGTTAGTAATATAGCTAGCTAGCTATATGAATTGAAATCGCACCCCCACTAACTAACGTTAGTTAGCTAGCTGCTGCATTATTTATGTCAATGAACCGACGATAATCAATACTTTTTTGATTAGAGTTACATTAATCTGGGATGATTATTGATGGTTACTAACGAACAGTACGATTATATTAAACTTGCAACAAGAACATACCTTGCTTGTGTGATCAGGAATCTCCATCCGTCTTTCTACTACGCACGTGTTAAACAAGCAGCACTATTTCAGAACCTCCGGTTTTCAGTGAGTTTGTTTAGCCACATTGCAAAATAAAAGCCATATGAAAAATAACAACGCTACCATAACGAGGTTGCTGTAACATCCATTAGTTGTTCATGTTCACAATTAATAATACTTACGATATCTTCTTCATTAGTGTGTAGTATTTTCGCCAGAGTCCTTACTAAATTAAAAACAAATAAACCAGGGCCTTTAATTTGAAGGATTGCCTTGGCTTCCGATTTTCTCCTGCTGCCAAATGTCGCTAACTTACTGAGATAGAAATGAAAACAAAAGTGCAAAATGCAATCTTGACACACATAGCATGATTTGGTGCAAATAAAGGACATGTTTATTGTTGAATTTTTAGTCCTTAAACAGTTTCTGCATAGAATACTTGCAATGCATTTGTCTGATGAAACGAAATTGTGCACCATAGCTCATTTTTCTAGCACGCTAGCCAGATAGCTAGCTAACTACCCTACCCCAGCATGCATCTTGTTACTCCCTTGGTCGGCAGATGGAAACATGGCGGCGATCAGTAAATACTTGACAGCCAAGAACTCCTCTATAGCAGGTGCCACAATCGTTGCCTTGTATCTTCTCAAGAGGAGAAGTCATGCAGCCCAGTTAAATGGGTAAGTTAAGTCTTGACAACTATTTTGTAGCTAAAGTGACGACTATCATAACGCTAAGCTGATGTAGCCAACATTGGCTGGCTACTAGAAAGTCAGACAAGAATAAGATTTGTCACCGACTTGCAGTTTGACGATGACATTGAATCAGAGTGTTCTGTTATTTTAACATACTATTTTAGATATCTAGTAGTTTATGGAGTTAATTTTCTCTACTGACACCCGGTGGTGGGGTGTTGTCATTGAATTGCCTGCCTGCTAGCTGGTTGGTCAGATTTCCAAGGACTAAAAGTAATCAGAGTTTCCTACCATGGCGTCATCCATAGACCCGTAGTGTTATGTAACAGACTTCATCCCTGTTTTCTGTTTAGGGGGAAAAGGTCATCAGAACTACAGTTGAGCAAAGATGTAAGTGCATGTAGACAAGAAATGTAACCAAGACTCTTACTGCACTTTTTGTTTAAATTGCTCTCACCACACCAATGGCCAAAATCTTGGCAAGAATGTCAATATCCACAGACTTTAGCCCCTGATTAACAAGTAGGACTGAGTTGGTGAGATTTAAATTTGGGTTTATTTATCTGATTAATCTGTAAATGTTTGGTATGATGTGAGGCAGGATGCCAAGAAGGAAAAGACGGTGGTGGATAAGGTGTTCTTTGCACGTGTCCTGAAGATAGTGAAGATCATGGTTCCTGGAGTGTTCTGCAAAGAGGTATTAACTTTTTTTAACAACCTTTTTACTTTGAATGCACTCAAACATTTTAATCTTGATTGGAATAATTTTTCACTTGCTGTATGGACATGTATTGTGTAACATCTCAACACATCTCCCACTCCCTTGTGTTTTCCTATTTCTGGTAATCTATCTGCCCACAGTCAGGATACTGTCTCCTCATCGCTGCCATGCTGGTGGCCAGAACCTACTGTGATGTGTGGATGATCCAGAATGGAACCATGATCGAGAGGTAGGACTCCATAGAAAACCCTATTGCACACCAACACTTAAGTTCACACCAACGACACTTTCTGAAGCAACTTCAACATAAAGTACTTGTTTAGCATTATTTGTCTTGTTCGACAGCTCGTAATAATCTCCTCTCAATTCTTCTACAGTGGAATCATTAGCAGAGATGTCAATCTCTTTAAGAAGCATTTTTATTACTATATTGCTGTCATACCAGGGGTAAACTATTGTCCATGCTATATTTGCATGGCAAACTTTGGCCAAGCACTAAACCCCTATATAACACTGTGCTGCTTGTGGTGCCTGGTAGCAGAATATGATTAAGTGCTTATGAATTCACTTGTGTATTGTTGTTGCGCTTTAATTGGATTTGTGGACATCACTGATCTTGAAGGGTTGCAGGCCTGCACATATTTGAAATTTTTTATTTACCTTCTAGTCAGTTATTCACGTAGTCCTGGTACAGTAGGTTATTTTCTAGAGCGTGTTTCATTTTGTGGTTGGGGTGGTAAAAGATGGATAAAGAAATGATATCCCCGCAGCCCTACAGGACCAGACTGGCCCAAGTTATGAATGAGATTATTCTTAGTTTATTTTGTGTCCATTCCATTTTGCAATCCCCATCCTGCTGTGTTCACCTCTCACAAGTGTATTTTTCCACTGTTCAGTAATTTATCAGGATACTGGTGATAGCCTTTCGCAAGATCCAGTGTCTCACTCTCACCCCAACTAGTTTGGTTAGTTTAAGGTGCTGATAATCCACAGAACAAACACCTCTGGTTTTAAATGTAGAACGTAGGACCCCACTTTGGCCCTGTATGTGTCATTTTGTGTGTGTGTGTGTTCACTTTGTGCATGTTGGTTTGCAGTGCAATTATTGGTCGTTCAACAAAAGATTTCAAGAGGTTCTTGTTCAACTTGATAAAAGTCATGCCATTTGTAAGTGCAACTTTCATACAATTTTTCTAACTCATTTGTTTTCTTAATTGTCTTTACCACCCGTGGATATTTAAATATATATAACGATATAACATTATAATTTGTAATTCTACACATTACAGTATATTTGATCATGTGCTTATGATTCTACTGTAAAACAGGTAACCTCATGATTTGGGAATGGTGGTTTAGGATGGGGTTAGTATTGTGCCCATTAGGGAGAGAGTTTGTGTTTGTGTGTGTAATTTAGGGGGAGTCTGTACTAAAACAAAGATCCTGCCTGATTACTAACAGACTGGTGATCCCTGGCCTATAGTCCTTTGAGTTTTTATGAGGTGTTCATGATTCTTATGATTATTTACTCAATGCATAAATGCCATTGGTTTGGTTTACTCACACTATAAAATGTAATGCACTGCTTTTAAATGAGACCACTAACGTTGCCAATTTCCCTGTTTCAGATCTCGCTAGTCAACAACTTCCTGAAGCTGGGCCTGAATGAACTGAAGCTCTGCTGCCGGGTTCGACTCACAAAGCACCTCTATGATGAGTACCTGCAGTAAGTCCTTCTGATGCCTGCTTCTTGCAGAAAACGAGTTTCTTTAAACAAGAGAGAACATATGTCTGTCTGCCATTAGCTGGTGTCTTGTGATAGACGTTAACATTTAAACGTAACCCAAATGGAGGAGTGGGCGATTTGGTTCTGGGTAACGAGATTAGCCTTTAGCAATAGAGTTATATTGGAAGGATTTTGCCTTGATCCTCTCAAGTTTCCTAGCCCCAATCCAATAGTTACTTACAGTGTGTTGACCCCGTTACACTGATGTAAGGAACAATGACTTCATAAGCTCAAAGTAATAGAAAATACATAACACACCTGCCAAACCCTGTTTCATGTTTTCACCACACCATCCTCCCATCCCCCATCTCCTCTCTAGAGGTTACACATACTATAAGATTGGTAACCTGGACAACCGCATCGGTAACCCTGACCAGCTGCTGACCCAGGATGTGGAGAGGTTCTGTAACAGTGTGGTAGACCTCTACTCCAATGTCAGCAAGGTAATCTGCACTTAAATAGCCTGGTTATACCAGACTGAATGCTTCAGTCTTATGAAACTATGGTGAGTTTAGCATTCAGTCTGGTTCAACCAGGCTACTAAAAAATACCTCTGTTGTAGAGACAACCAATGCTGCTCAAAGCCTGATACAATCTAATGCTATTGACAGTACACTGCACCTGTGATGATAAGTATACTTATGTTTTTCCACCTTCAGCCTTTATTGGACATTGGTCTGTACATCTTCAAGTTGACCTCAGCCATCGGGGCACAGGTGAGTCTTGCTCTTTCTAATGTAGCCTTCTATGCCGATATCCAGTTTCAATTGAAAGCATGAAAATGATAATCCCCAATGCATCTACACAGTAGAATAGAGTTTCTAATGCCTCTACTCTACTCTACACGACTCTACATAAATCTCTCCCCATCAGGGTCCTGCCTGTATGATAGGCTACCTGATGTTCTCGGGGCTCATCCTGACACGTCTGCGGAGGCCCATCGGCAAGATGACGGTGATGGAGCAGAGATACGAGGGAGAGTACCGATTCGTCAACTCTCGCCTCATCACCAACAGGTCAGTCAGGCGCACGTCTCTCCTTTCCACTGTTCCTCTTCTCTTCTCCTTTTTTGGACAAATAATGATTCATGTTCTTTTTCCACTGTGAAAATAAATGGTTGAATGTTTTGTTTCCCACAGTGAAGAGATTGCCTTCTACAATGGAAACCTGAGGGAGAAGCAGACCATTCACTCTACCTTCCAGAAACTGGTGAGAGGGTTTAGGACTTTAAATGTATCAGTGGCGGTAGTTGACTTACTATGGGATCAGAGAAGACTTACACTGCAGTGCATATACAGTGTCTTACATCCTCTCCCTTTTACCCCTAGGTGGATCATTTGCACAATTTCATTGTCTTCCGCTTTTCAACGGGTTTCGTGGACAGCATCATTGCTAAATGTGAGAATACTTGTCTTGTCATTGATTCTAAGCTTGTAGTATTATCATTTGCGTTATTTATATAATCTCCACTGATATGGTTTAGTAGATGGCAGCGATAAATACTTGTTTTTCCCACCTCTAGATATTGCCACTGTTGTCGGGTACCTGGTGGTGAGCAGGCCGTTCCTGAACCATACCCACCCACGCCACCTACACAGTACCCACGCTGAGCTGCTAGAGGTGAGGAAAGACAAAGGGAGTGTGTGTATGTGTGTTCTGTATGGTTCAGAGCCTAACTTCCCTCTGTTTCACATCCAGGACTATTACCAGAGTGGGCGTATGTTGTTGAGCATGTCTCAGGCCCTGGGCAGGATCGTCCTGGCTGGCAGGGAGATGAGCAGGCTCTCAGGGTCAGTCATACACAATGCTCTTATCACACAACTGGTTTATTGGTTCAATGGTTTGGTGGTTCACGAGTAGCCTGAATGCCCATCTGTTTGCGCTATCATGCCAACTCCTTGTCAGTTGTTGCGATAGAGTTCCAATATTTACATAACCCTTGAGATTGGAGGGTAGCTGTGGGGGTTATCGAATCAGGATCCAATTCTCTGTTCTCCTCGAGCTCATTAATGATAGAATGCTCATTCATATTTGAAGATTGCTGTGAGGCCAGACTGTTTGGCGTGACAATGACAGAAATTGAGTAAGCAAGAGCACAAACAGATCTGGAAACAATTGAAACATTGTAGCAATTGAACCAGTGAACCAATTGGTGTGTATTCAATGGTTCATTGGTTCGGTGGATCAATAGTTTACTGGTTAGCTGGTTCATTGGTTCAAGGGTTCAGTAAATCAATGGTTTACTTGTTCAGAGTTTATGGTTCACCAGTCATAGGTCTCTCCACTTGTTCTTCTCTCCCTCTGTCTCCTGTCCCCTCCTCACTGACTCCCGCTGTCTCCTCCTCACTGACTCCCGCTGTCCCCTCCTCACTGACTCCCACTGTCCCCTCCTCACTGACTCCCACTGTCCCCTCCTCACTGACTCCCGCTGTCCCCTCCTCACTGACTCCCACTGTCCCCTCCTCACTGACTCCCGCTGTCCCCTCCTCACTGACTCCTGCTGTCCCCTCCTCACTGACTCCCGCTGTCCCCTCCTCACTGACTCCCGCTGTCCCCTCCTCACTGACTCCCGCTGTCCCCTCCTCACTGACTCCCGCTGTCCCCTCCTCACTGACTCCCGCTGTCCCCTCCTCACTGACTCCCGCTGTCCCCTCCTCACTGACTCCTGCTGTCCCCTCCTCACTGACTCCCACTGTCCCCTCCTCACTGACTCCTGCTGTTCCCTCCTCACTGACTCTCGCTGTCCCCCTACAGGTTCACTGCTCGCATCACCGAGATCATGAAGGTACTGAAAGAGCTGAACTCTGGGAAATACGAGAGGACCATGGTCTCTCAGCAGGGAGGCAGAGGTGACTGCATGTTCCCTGATAATGTATTGATGATATTGTTGTTGTTGTTGTTGGATAGTAGTCTCATGTGGTAGTAGTGTCATGCAGGAAAATGAAAACATATTACTAGTTTAAGTGCAAGATGATTGCTTTAGTGGGGTTTTTTTTGTCATACATTTTCAGATAGTGAATCGCAAGATAGAATCACCCTGGTCCCAGGAAGTGGTGAAATCATCAACAAAGACAAGATCATCAAGTAGGTGTCTAACAAATACATGTATTATAGCAGTACAATAAACAAGATGAAATGGTTCATAAAGTAGGCATCACCTGGTTTGACATTATTTTACTTGTGTCTCAGGTTTGAGCATACACCTCTTGCAACGCCTAATGGGGACATTCTTATCAAAGACCTCAGCTTTGAGGTGAGTATCTCGAAGGATCAACTCCGTACTGAACCATTTGATACAATTCATAAAATCTAAAGACTTGTGATGATGGTTGAGGGACTGTTTTCATCTGTAAGTGCAGACAGCTGAACTGTGCCTTCCCTTCATCTGCTAATCTAAGGTGACGTCAGGGACAAACGTCTTGGTGTGTGGCCCCAACGGCTGTGGGAAGAGCTCACTCTTCAGAGTCCTGGGAGAGGTAAGAGAGATCAAGAATTTACGAAAAAGCCTGTTATGTTGCTTTAGCGTTAAAGTTTTCCACTCATGGGTAATAATGGATGTGTCTGTCTCTCAGCTCTGGCCTCTGTTTGGTGGCCGTCTCACAAAACCTGAGAGAGGGAAGCTCTTCTACGTTCCCCAGAGACCATACATGACCCTAGGCTCTCTGAGGGATCAGGTGATCTATCCAGATACAGTGGAGGACCAGAGGAGGAAGGGGACCTCTGATAAGGTAGTCTAGCTAGCCAATTACATCTCTTTACTAGGCCATATCCAATCACTGCAGCTCTTTACCGGACCATATATCCCTGCTATTCCCATACTGGGGTACGTACCCCTGGCTGTCGTGGGTACGCCAAATAAAAATGTGATTCACATTTTCAAACAGTCCATTTAGATTTTCCAACGGGGCTATACATTTGGGTGATGTTTTTTTCTCTCGCCTGAGTAGCCTTGTTTCACTGCCAAAAATAAAATTAAACCATCTAGTGTTCAGCGAAATAACAACACAATGTCAAATACAGGTAGTCTAGTCAAATAATTAACATCCAATCACATTAACCGTTACTCTCTCGCGGGAATTCCACTAACGGTGGTTCTCTGTAGCTCAACTGGTAGAGCACGGTGCTTGTAATGCCAGGGTAGTGGGTTCGATCCCCGGGACCACCCATACACAAAAAATTTATGCACGCATGACTGTAAGTCGCTTTGGATAAAAGCGTCTGCTAAATGGCATATTATTTTATTATTATTTACTCTCCGCAACTACAGTCGTGGTCAGAAGTTTTGAGAATGACACAAGTATTGGTCTTCACAAAGTTTGCTGCTTCAGTGTTTTTAGATATTTTTGTCAGATGTTACTATGGTATACTGAAGTATAATTACAAGCATTCCATAAGTGTCAAAGGCTTTTATTGACAATTACATTAAGTTTATGCAAAGAGTCAATATTTGCAGTGTTGACCCTTCTTTTTCAAGACCTCTGCAATCCGCCCTGGCATGCTGTCAATTAACTTCTGGGCCACATCCTGACTGATGGCAGCCCCTTCTTGTATAATCAATGCTTTGAGTTTGTTAGAATTTGTGGGTTTTTGTTTGTCCACCCGCCTCTTGAGGATCGACCACAAGTTCTCAATGGGATTAAGGTCTGGGGAGTTTCCTGGCCATGGACCCAAAATGTCGATGTTTTGTTCCCCGAGCCACTTAGTTATCACTTTTGCCTTGTGGCAAGGTGCTCCATCATACTGGAAAAGGCATTGGTCGTCACCAAACTGTTCTTGGATGGTTGGGAGAAGTTGCTCTTGGAGGATGTGTTGGTACCATTCTTTATTCATGGCTGTGTTCTTAGGCAAAATTGTGAGTGAGCCCACTCCCTTGGCTGAGAAGCAACCCCACACATGAATGGTCTCAGGATGCTTTACTGTTGGCATGACACAGGACTGATGGTAGCGCTCACCTTGTCTTCTCCGGACAAGCTTTTTTCCGGATGTCCCAAACAATCGGAAAGGGGATTCATCAGAGAAAATGACTTTACCCCAGTCCTCTGCAGTCCAATCCCTGTACCTTTTGCAGAATATCTGTCTGTCCCTGATGTTTTTCCTGGAGAGAAGTGGCTTCCTCGCTGCCCTTCTTGACACCAGGCCATCCTCCAAAAGTCTTCGCCTCACTGTGCGTGCAGATGCACTCACACCTGCCTGCTGCCATTCCTGAGCAAGCTCTGCACTGGTGGTGCCCCGATCCCGCAGCTGAATCAACTTGAGGAGACGGTCCTGGCGCTAGCTGGACTTTCTTGGGCGCCCTGAAGCCTTCTTCACAACAATTGAACCTCTCTCCTTGAAGTTCTTGATGATCCAATAAATGGTTGATTTAGGTGCAATCTTACTAGCAGCAATATCCTTGCATGTGAAGCCCTTTTTGTGCAAAGCAATGATGATGGCACGTGTTCCCTTGCAGGTAACCATGGTTAACAGAGGAAGAACAATGATTTCAAGCACCACCCTCCTTTTAAAGCTTCCAGTCTGTTATTCTAACTCAATCAGCATGACAGAGTGATCTCCAGCCTTGTCCTCGTCAACACTCTCACCTGTGTTAACGAGAGAATCACTGACATGATGTCAGCTGGTCCTTTTGTGGCAGGGCGGAAATGCAGTGGAAATGTTTTTTGGGGATTAAGTTCATTTTCATGGCAAAGAGGGACTTTGCAATTAATTGCAATTCATCTGATCACTCTTCATAACATTCTGGAGTATATGCAAATTGCCATCATAAAAACTGAGGCAGCAGACTTTGTGAAAATTAATATTTGTGTCATTCTCAAAACTTTTGACCACGACTGTATATTCAATGTGCGGGACAAAATTGAGGCTATTATTAAGAAGTTGGAGCTCTTCTCTGTCTGCATTATCAAGGACAACACACAGGTCTTTCCATCATTGTATGTATTTTTGTGTGTAAATGAACTCAAGCTTACGGACAATGTCAAATGTGATATAGCAAAGCACCTGAGTGAGCTGGGTGCGCAATTACGCAGGTACTTTCCCGAAACGGACGACACAAACAACTGGATTCGTTATCCCTTTCATTCCCTGTCTCCAGTCCACTTACAGATATCTGAACAAGAGAGCCTCATCGAAATTGCAACAAGCTGTCCTGGGAAAATTTAATCAGAAGCCACTGCCAGATTTCTGTATAGGGCTGCGCTCAGAGTATCCTGCCTTGGCAAATCGCGCTGTTAAGACATTGATGCCCTTTGCAACCACGTACCTATGTGAGAGTGGATTCTCGGCCCTCACTAGCATGAAAACTAAATACAGGCACAGACTGTGTGTGGAAAATGATTTAAGACTGAGACTCTCTCCAATACAACCATTGCAGGGTTATGTGCATCCTTTCAAGCACACCCTTCTCATTAACCTGTGGTGTTATTCACAATTTTTGATGAACAAATAAGGTTTTATATGTAAGATGGCTAAATAAAGAGCAAAATGATTAATTATTATTATTTGTGCCCTGGTCCTATAAAAACAACATTTGAGAGTGCGCTGACCCTAGTGCTAGAGGGGGTACGCAGCTGGAGGTTGAATGTTTGAAGGGGTAGGGGATTATATAAAGTTATATAAAATATCCAATCACATCTGCTCTTCACTGTACCAATATATTGTAAGGCCCCTCAAATAGAACAGTCATACATGGCCTCTGTCAGTAGGGTGTGGTATGTCAGAGCACACACGCACACATGCACAGAGACACACTTGTACGTACACACACCAGCACACCACACTCCTTGAGCAAACAGCACGCATAGCTTTGTGTCTGTGTGTATGTGTGTGCACATCTCTGTGACTGTGTGTTTGTGTAATGGTGTTTATGTGTTGTGCTGGAGAACAGGTGCTGAAGGAGTACCTGGACAACGTCCAGCTAGGTCACATCCTGGAGCGGGAGGGCGGCTGGAACACGGTCCAGGACTGGATGGACGTCCTCAGTGGAGGAGAGAAACAGAGGATGGCTGTAAGTCAAAAGAAAAGAACAGAGCCTGTCATTCTTTTTTGTCTCTTCACAGTTTATTTTGTCTTATGATGACTTGAGTCCATTTTACAAGCACATTGGGTTATAGAATGTGTGAAGGGAGCTTTTCATTGATCGCTGTCTCTCTCTCTCGGTCTCTCTCTCTCTCTCTCTCTCTCTGTGTGGTTTTTAGATGGCCCGTCTGTTCTACCATAAGCCCCAGTTTGCCATCCTGGATGAGTGCACCAGTGCTGTTAGTGTAGATGTGGAGGACTTCATCTACAGCCACTGTAGGACGGTAAGATACAACACCGTAGACTATTATTCAGATGATAAATTATTAGGTCATTTGTCAATATATTGATGATTATTTAAAAAATATATATTATTTATGTAGATCTTGTGAAAAAGGAATGAAAAGGAACCAGGGAAACTGATGCATGGTTACAGGATGCTGAGAAAGTGGATTCCGAGCTTATGGGATGTCATATTTACCTTTCCTCAGGTGGGCATTACGCTGTTCACGGTTTCTCACAGGAAGTCTTTGTGGAAGCACCATGAGGTAAGAGCTTTCATACTGAATGATGACACATGAAATGACTGCATATAATAACAATAAAATGCAGGTGAATACCAGAACCCTGTTATTTTTTCATTTTTTTTAAATGCAAAGAGCATTTTCTTTTATCACCTATTTGCTTGGAACATACTGTTCAAATTGTAACCAGTGGTTTCTGTCTTCTCCAGTACTACCTGCACATGGACGGAAGGGGGAGCTATGAGTTCAAACCCATCACCCAGGAAACGGTGGAATTTGGGTCATAACAATTTCACTATAGCCAAGTATTGCGCACCGAGATGGTCCTAAGTAATTCTGCACTTCATGAAGCATAGAGCACAGAGGTCAAGTCAAGTCCTAACATCTTAAAATGTTACGCTACAGTATGAAGACTGGGAGCTCTCTCAATGTCAAGAGAGAAATACCTAAACCTGTACATTAAAGGTAGGGTCTACAATATGACATCATCATACACAGCACGGTACACTTCCTGCTTACAGAAATAATAAACAACCAAATGTAATTCTGCCGAGACTGACAGTATTGGTTCTTCCTAAGTATTGGTTCATCCTTAGGGCAGATTTTGAATTCTGTTGTTTATGCCTGGAAACAGGAATGTGTATGATGATGTCATATTGCAGAGTCTACCAATAAGAATGTGTGTCTGTACAGGAGAGTTTTAATTGTATATGAAGCAAATAATGTACTAAGAAAGCTAGCCTTAACGATTGTTTTTCCCGTTTTATTTCCGTTAATATTGCATTGTTTTTAATTATTTAAAATGTTCAGTTTTGATGTCAATGAATTGAGATGTCAGAGTTCCATGACATGATTTGTTTTTGAAATGTTTGTCTAGTGCAGTTAGTTTAAACACTGAAGTGCATTTTTCTTTCATTAAGCCAGTTACTGTAACTGTATCTTAAGCATAGCTAGTCCGAATCAGTCAACTACAGTACATACATGTACCTGAAAATGTATTTTACTGTACTGTAGTTATTTTGAACTGTACTGTAAGTTGAGCTTTGATTATTTTGTTGAAGGGGATTGAGGACGTGGGAATTTGTTTGTCAACATAGGATAGTTAAAATGCAATCGCTATGAGCTGAACTACACATTAATATATTTCATTAATATATATTTCTCAAAACAATTTAGAGGCCCTCTGTCTTCTGTCCTACAGACTGCTCATTGTGGAGTTCTCTGTTAGATATCAGAGCATAGTTTGTGCATCCCAATAGTCTAAAATGGCTTCCTCTTATATAATTTCGTTCATCCACACTGATCTTGAAACAGTTGGGCAATTGAAAGCAAATCCCCCAGAAGGCTTCTGGCATGTCCCTGATCCTGTATTTTCAGAGTAGTGCAAAATACTCAATGTCACCCCAACACAGTGCAAGACAAATATGGGGGAACAAGGACTAAGTTAGAGGGGCATTTAAATCCATTTGGATGAAGGAGAGGAGGTCACTTTTTAGATTGAGCTACACCCATGACTTGGACCTGCTCCAGGGCATGTCTCGGAGGTCTCTGGCATTGTGTTGCCAAGTTACCAATGTGATTGTGGTGTCACCCCTCTGCCAGAGTATTCCACCTGGCTTACTGGGTCATAAGCTGATAAGCAGGCATTGAGCTACAATCAAAAAATCTCTATGAAAAGGCTTTCCTCTTGTCTCATATCAGTTTCAAACATGATTTAAGTATGATAGATAATTTTAAGGCAAACCAGATGGCACTGTTATGTCAAAGTTCCCTCACATGGATATTGTTACATGAAAGACAAATTAGAATTTAATTGTATAAATATGAATTTAATTGTAAAAATTACCAGAATGCACAAAAGTTATCACAAGTAATCATTTTCCTACTAACCTTCCTTCACTCATCCAAAAGTACCAAATCCATGTTCCAACAGCACAGTACATGGATGAATCCTATTCAACATGAACTACACATCATCAACATATAAGATAATACATCTTAGAGACATAACATTACACATTTAACATATAAAACATTGAAATAAATTATATTAAATGTTTCTTATCTACATAGTGGCAAAAATAACATGTACTTCTCAACAATTCATTTAATTTACTAGTTCAACATTGGTATAAAACAAATAAGTAATCAAAAAAATTATCTACCCATTAAAAGAACCAGCTCATAATGACATTTAAAAAGACAAGATTAATTTCACAGTTTCCAGTGTTCGACGCATTTGTGCTACATTATTGGGAGCACAGCTCCCTCTCTCTGAAAGGGTTGGTCAAGTCGCACCATCATCACACACACCTTTACACTGAACTCAAATGCAGGTTCTCCTTGTCCACCGTTTTGGTCTTTTTGCAGCAGCAGCGTTTGCAACACACCACGGTGAGAGTGATGAGGATGATGAATATAGCCAGCATGATGCCAATGGCAGCTGTGATCACACCAAAGCTGAATTCTGAAGAAATAAAGAATTCTCAATTTAACATGATCATTTAATTGAAGTTCTTGAAGTTGCTAAGCATTGTAGCCTACAGTAAAAATGGCTATTCTAACTTGCCCACATTTGATCTTTATCAACAAGATTTGTTGTAGTTACTCAATCCACTACACATTTCATTGAATCCACTGAATTTCACCCTTCTTCAATTCCCTTCACCCCACCTCATCCTTAACTTGTGCTTTGCATTGTAGGGTCACTTACCCTCAAAGATGGTCTTTCTCTCTCTGGCTGAGCACTGCGGCTTGCTCCAATCTCCCAGTCTCTTCTTTGCAGGACGAGAGGGGATATAGGCTGCCACCATGAAGCAGTAGCTCTGTCCTTTATCCAGATTGGTCAGCTCTACATTTCTCAGGTCTGACATCTTCTCTTTCTGTGGACAGGAGTTTACAGTTTAGTATTATTTCAAGTCACACACTGTTTGTGTTGTCATTGGAGGGAATTGACAGGTATCCGGGACGGACTGGGACCAAAAATCGGCTTGGGTATTTTTAACACACTGGCCAATTCCTTCCTTTGAGGCCCCCACAACAGCCATTTGTTTCCTACAGGCCCCCCATTATTAGCCAAATAATTGTAATTTTGGGCAAACCCCCAAATTTAAACCTGCTCACGGGGCTAGAAATGGACCAGCCCATATGTTATTTGCCGGAACTGCCCTATGGCCAGTCCGCCCCTGACCGGTATAGTCTCAAAAGCATTTACAATGAATGTATGTCTATGACTGTTCAACTCACTTTTCCTGTGCTCCCAGCTTTGTTGTATACGACTCTGTATTTCAGGTCATTCTTGAAGACGTCTCTGATGGTTAACAGCTGGTCATCTTTGTAGAGGGGAGTGAGAGGGTCCTGGATGTGGAGAATCATCTTGGTCTTGTCTTCGCTCTGCACAATCTTGAAAGTGGGTCCTCCTATTTGAGCTGAGAAGAGAAGGGGATGTAAGTTAGGCACCATAGCCTTCATTTCATTTTTGAATACCTTTACAAACACAGCAATGAAGTATTTAATTTTAAAAAATACCCAGTGAAATGAACCTTTCTAATATAATAATAATGCATGAATGTAATTATTGTACAACACAATAACAATGTAAATAATGAATGACCCAGAAAAATGTTACTATATGACTTAATGCAATTTAGGGCAGAATAATAATGTGATAACACTCACTGTCTTTGTAAGGGCTGAACCTCTTGGCCCGGGTGTAGGGGAACTCCACAAGGTCAGAGGTAATGCCGGGTAGGGGTTCTGATAGGACGTCGGCAGAGTAGGTCTCCTGCAGGTTCCGCAGCTCGTTGGTGAGGTCACACTCTGTCCCCGAGCTCCGGATGCAGTGGGGGTTCCTATGTCTGTCCTTACCAACACTGAACAAACAACAGTCTATCAGTCAGAGTCCTTGATTTGCCTTTCTGTCATTCACTTCAAATGAATTAAGTGCTAGTGTGTAGTTGTATATTAGGTATACAGTGGCCTCCGTAATTATTGGGACAGTGAAGCATTTTTTCATTCTTTTGGCTCTATACTCCAAAGGTTTAGATTTGAAATCAAACAATTACTATGGAGGTTCACCATTTAGAAATGACAACACTTTTTATACATAGACCCCCCATTTTAGGGGACCAAAGTATTGGAACAAATTCACTTATATGTGTACTAAAGTAGTAAAAAGTTAAGTATTTGGTCCCATATTCATAGCATGCAATGACTGCGTCAAGCCTGTGACTCTACACATTTGTTGGATGCATTTGCTGTTTGTTTTGATTGTGTTTCAGATTATTTTGTGTCCAATAGAAATGAATGGTAAATTATGTATTATTTACCATTCATTTCTATTGGGCAATTCAGCCAAAACCAACAGCAAATGCAGCCAACAAATGTGTAGTCACAAGCTTGACGCAGTCATTGCTTGCTATGTATAAAGACTGTTGTCGTTTCTAATGAGTGGAACCAATATGTACACAAATACTCTCAAATAAAAGCTGAGAATCTATACTTTAACCTCATAGCAATTGTTTGATTTCAAATCAGAAGAAATGCTTCATGTCCCAATAACTACGGAGAGCACTGTAGGTTGTACACTCAGTTTTAAATTGGCATTCTGTTGACATAGAGTAAAGTATTCACCCAGAAAGTGGTCAATGTGTTTGTGCTGACCGGATGTTTTTGGTTGTTTTGTAGCAATAGTGATATAATGATGAATAGTGCAGACTGAGACTGCAGAGACATGATGTAGGATACTTACCTATAAAATTCAACAGTGTATGTGTAGTTGGTAGGCTCAGGGCCCCATGTTAGAATAGTCTTGAAGTTATTGGACACCCACTGAACATCCATTGCCTTAAGGAAATAATCCTCATCTGTAACCCAGGACGATAAAGCCATGATTAGTTATCTGTTCTGCAAAACATAGACTTGCTACAGTATATTGATAAAGCAGAAAAGATCAAGATATCATCCACGAAGGAGGCCTTTAGCCTATAGATTAAATAGGATCTATAGCCTACAGATATGCACATATTTCAACAAATTTCCACTGAGCCTCAGGGCTGAGTAATTGTGTATCTGATGATCATGTGGAATGCAAACGGTCAAACTTACCAGCTGCTCCAATTGTGAATAGTAGCGATGAGAGTAAAACTCCGAAGTGAAGGAAAGTCCTTACATTCTCCATTATGATAATCCTAATTATTACAGTAGCCTCTTTACTATCGAATGCGAATTGTGAGCATTGATTTTCCCCAGGTGAAACGCGTGTGGCTACTATTCGTCTAATAATAAGACATCAAAGTTTGTCAGATAACTGCACAGTGCAGCTGGTGCCTCGCTTTTATACCACATTGAGGTTGCGAGCAGTCGGAAATTTAGGTTATGACTCATTCAACAATAGCTCCACCTCCCTTATAACTCTGCTCGAGCATGGCGTTTTGTCACTGGCTGAGCATGCTTCGCATACAATCTGTCGAAGCGTTTATTGTCCATATATGGTTAACCGGATGATGGGCAAGCAATTTTACCTGCAGCTTGCCATGGCAACGTTGTAGCGGCGGCATGAATGGAGACAGACCTAAAGCTCATGGAAATTTGAGTCAATGTCTGGATTTGTTGGAGTCATCTTTGATCTGTATTTTGTGTTCTTTAAATAACTTGAATGATTAGTTTCAATGTTATATAAAATGTTGTTATAACTATAAATAACTATTATGAATGATATATATATATATATATATACACTACCGGTCAAAAGTTTTAGAACACCTACTCATTCATGGGTATTTCTTTATTTTTACTATTTTCTACATTGTAGAATAATAGTGAAGACATCAAAACTATGAAATAACATATATGGAATCATGTAGTAACCAAAAAAGTGTTAAACAAATCAAAATACATTTTACATTTGAGATTCTTCAAATAGCCACCCTTTGCCTTGATGACAGCTTTGCACACTCTTGGCATTCTCTCAACCAGCTTCATGACGTAGTCACCTGGAATGCATTTCAATTAACAGGTGTGCCTTCTTAAAAGTTAATTTGTGCAATTTCTTTCCTTCTTAATGCGTTTGAGCCAATTAGTTGTGTTGTGACAAGGTAGGGGGGGGGGGGGGGGGGGGGGGGGTATACAGAAGTGTTATTTCATAGTTGTGATGTCTCCACTATTATTCTATGTGAAAAAGTGTGATTAATGGAATGGAATTTTATTATTTCTGAGCATACACACAACCTGAAGCAATTTGTCAACATAAAAAAGTCCTGTACACACTAAATGAATACATTAATTCAAAATGTCAAACATAAATTAAGGCTACAAGCTTCAATTAAGTGTACAAGTACCCAACCTGTGACATATTTATTTGTATGTTGCCATATGGGGGTGATTTAGTGCCTGAGAGAGTGAGCAGATAAGCTCTAGATTCAGCATGGTGAATTAGCATTAAGTGAAAAGACGGACTGAGACACTGGTGTACCTGCATCTCCACACAACCTACAGACTATGTATATCTTCTAGCATTGATTTGATTGATAGGGCTATTATTTACCAATCTATGACAAACCATGGCAATAGTTTTAGATATCTTTTGATGTATGTTTGATTTTTGGACTTGGAGAATGTCCAATCGGATCAATCTCTCAAATCATATTGAGAGAATGAATGGTGGTTATCATTACACATACTGTACCATTTATAATGGATAATTCGTTGTTGATTACTCCCAATTCTGCAAAGCCATCACTGTTATTTCACTAATATGCTGAATATGACATTACATCATATATTAAGTCTAGGTCCAAAAGGCTTCTTAACAGCTTCTACCCCCAAGCCGTAAGACTCCTGAACAGTTAATCATGGCTACTCGGACTATTTGCATTGTTGGTAAGTAAGCATTTCACTGTAAGGTCTACACCTGTTGTTTTTGGGTCATGTGGCAAATAAAATTTGATTTGATTTGATGTATTATTTGTGGTATATTTGAAAATACAGTATCATCCTCAAACTTTCCCTGGATGGGCTTACGTGACCCTTTAAGGGTGAAAGTAGTTCCTCAAAGTTTCCATGTCTTTTTTCCATACATAATTACTTTCTCAGGCAGCCCCTTTCCCCCGACTGAAATATGACATCATAATCTCTTGTGTAAAAACAGGAGTTGAAAAATGATTTTCTGGAAGACTGAGGAAGACATTTCGCTTTACTCCAATTAGACCAGTCTTCATGAGGACCCGTTTAGAATGATTCTATTTAGAAAAGTCTAAATGGGATCAGTGGAACGTCTCAACTCTGACGTCACCCCATTGAAGTTTACATTTTAAATGGTTAAGGTTAAGGTTAGGTAAGGTTTATGGTTAGGGTTAGGGTAAGTGTAGGGGTTAAGGTTAGGGTTTAGGGTAGGGACGTCCCAAGGATACCAGATAGCACTAACTGATTATATTTACTCCACTCCAATCAGCCATTTCATTGAATGGTTCATATGGTCTGAGCAACTATTGACCTTTAACCTTTGACTAATTGACTAATAACCTTTTAAATAAGTATTGTAATGGTTACATTCAATGCTTGACTTCCATCATCATTACTGATCTAACTGTGTAATGTGTCAAATAAATAATTATTTTGTAGCTTCACAACCCCACCTTGCTTTCTGCGCAGAGGTAATCCAAAGTGAATCTCAACAAAACACTGATAGACAGTTTATTTACAATCCTTTTCAATTAAAACACTTATTGTGTTAGTCAAGGTGTTATAATGCATTAATAACACTTTAACAACGATAATTAGCTACACATCACTACACTGACATCAACTCATATCTAAAACTTCCCATTCTCATCTCCAAGAACATGTAACTCATGGAGGATAGTCCGTCCGGTAGAGTGGTGGGCAGGGAACGAACATGTGACTCAAGCTGGAGACCTCTGGACCTTTGGTATTAGCTGTCCTCAGTGCAACTTTTTCCCAACCCTCCGCTGTTCGCTGAAAGCGGTTTCCTGTCGAATATGAATATGGACACAAAAGAGCACTGTTTAAATTTACTGGATGTCTCCAGTGTGGGTCCATTTCATATTTCACTCAGGGATTCCTGCATTTGGTTCAATAAAGGAATTGATTTAGGCTTAGCAGTTTTAAGACAGTTGACAAGCATGGGATCCAGTATCACCCTTGTTTGAGAGAACAGCTTGATCACTAAGCAATGGACTTTATGTCAAATGACTAGTACTCCACCACACCCTCCTCTCCTCTCCTTCTGGCTGGCCTAGACTGCTAAGTAAGACATATTATTGTGGGAATTAATTAGTGGTCATGGTGAGCTAAACCATTGATCACTCCCAAATGTTGAAGATTCAGAGTATTGAGTATGTGAAAAGAATCATACATTTGCATTGACCATAATAAGCTAAGGCAGTTAATGGTTATGATCAGAATCTGCAGAACAAACGTCTCTGAATTAACCCTCATAACAAATAAGTGCAATGAAATGCAATGCAATCAGAGGTGTAGTCTCAGTGGTTTCCAAACTTTTTCATTGGGGATGGAAGGGGTGCCCGAGTGCAATGTCTATTTCTATATGCACAAGCACTGTCCATGACAAAAACTGTTCACATCCCTCTTGTTGGTGAAGAGAACATTTTGCAGGTTTTAAGCTTATTTCCTGCATTTCTACACATTTTGCCATGGAGTAGAGAGAAGATTTTGCATTTAATAAAGCTAATTTCCTGCAATTCTACACATTTTGCCATTTCTTCTGTGTGTTCATGTGATATCTGAGTGACTCAAACATTACAACAAAATCAATGGGCTAAAAAACCTAGCTAAAAACATTAGCTGACATGGGCTAGTTGATCTTGACATTTCTGACAAGTTATAAATAGCTCTAAGGTCTGCAATGACAAGAGGAAAACTGATGATGCACTACCCAATTTCGAAATTGCATCTTGTGCATTCTACTATTACAACTGTCAAGAGTAGGTTGAAGGCCGGACTGAGTTCCTAAAAAAATATATGTATACAGTTTGGGAAGTTTACAATCATGGTCAAATATACAACGATTAAATAAACGTTTTCTATTTTGGATCTCTGTGTGGCTCTGTCAATCTCTCCCAGCTTGAAAAGGTTTGTGTCTGGTAGCCTACGACTTCTTAAAAGGCAAAGTGTATGGATGAAACATCTTAGCTCCTTGGGTCTAGGCAATGTGAATAGTTCAACAATGCTGTAATATGTCATGTAAGCAGTGCCTCATCTATTAATCCTTCAAACAAACCATCCAGTAATGACTTCCATAATCAGAGGAAGAGATGACATCAGTATAGATGTGAGTGTTATAGTAAAGAGAGGACTCGGGGAACGTGGCGGCTAAAGTTTAGTCAATGTTGACCATTGGTCCAGCTAAAACTTTGGATAATGTAATAATTTGTGTATCTAGGGCTAAGATGTTGTCATTAAATGAAACTTTAAATTCGTCAATATCCTTTGTGCTGACTAGAATCCACTCAGGAAGTAATTTACCCTAGGTTTGTCACTGGCACAAGACTCATGCCATGACTGAGTCCTTTCGTAAAGTAATCAGGTAGATTTCCATTGCACTGCTACATGAAAAGTAGCATACCCACCACCTGATTTTCTAAAAGCTTTCTGCTTTTAGAAAATTCCCAACAGCCCAAATAGACTGTGATGCAATCATGCCATGTGCCAGCCATAGAATGGGCATCCCCTTATGAGTCTGGTTCCTTTCACGGTTGTTCAATCTCTCTATTCCCTTGAACAAGTTTTGCCAACGCTTCCCAAGGTTGCTGTCTGTCTCTATTTGAAATGTCTGTTTGTACAGACAGGAAGGAAGGTTGGTTCAGTTGGTAGAGCATGGCGCTTGCAACACCAGGGTTGTGGGTTGGATTCCCGCAGGGGACCAGTATGAAAATGTATGCACTCACTAACTGTAAGTCGCTCTGGATAAGAGCTTCTGCAAAATGACTAAACATTTCAAATTCAAAGTAAGGAAGGAAGTGATCAAAGAAGGGGGGAAAGCCTTCCCAAACCACAACAGTGTCTACACTTGTAATATAGAAACTAAACTAATACCACATGAAATATACAGTGGGGAAAAAAAGTATTTAGTCAGCCACCAATTGTGCAAGTTCTCCCACTTAAAAAGATGAGAGAGGCCTGTAATTTTCATCATAAGTACACGTCAACTATGACAGACAAAATGAGAAAAAAAATCCAGAAAATCACATTGTAGGATCTTTAATGAATTTATTTGCAAATTATGGTGGAAAATAAGTATTTGGTCAATAACAAAAGTTTCTCAATACTTTGTTATATACCCTTTGTTGGCAATGACACAGGTCAAACGTTTTCTGTAAGTC